GAAGAAAGAAAAGAAGAAGAAGAAAAAAAGAAAGAAGAAGAAAAAAAGAAAGAAGAAGAAAAAAGAAAGAAGAAGAAGAAAAAAGAAGAAAGAAAAGAAGAAGAAGAAAAAGAAAAAAAAGAAGAAGAAGAAAAAAAGAAAGAAGAAGAAGAAAAAAAGAAAGAAGAAGAAGAAAAAAAGAAAAAGAAGAAGAAAAAAAAGAAAAAGAAGAAGAAAAAAAAGAAAAAGAAGAAGAAAAAAAAGAAAGAAAGAGAAAAGAGAGAGAGAAAAAAAAGAAAAAAGAAAAAAGAGAGAGAAAAAGTTTATAAATCGTAAATGCTCCTTTATTAAAAGCAAAAGGGGAAAAGGGAGAGGTTTTGCCTACTGGTATGTGCGGACTTTGGAGCTTCGCCTGAACAGAGCAACCTCGGCTGTCCCGGGTTTGCTGCTGCTGCTGTCGTTGAACCTGAAGAGAAATGTCGCGGCAACGGCGCGCTTCTTAATGATGGGCTTATCATTGGAGGAAGCCATTGATTCTAATGTTTCTGTTCCAGACCGAGCACCCTTCACCCTTGGCCAGTTGTCGTCTTGCCCGGCGGACATGCAGAGTCGTGTGTGATGATAATGGTGAGTTTGAATGGCGTAGCGCTGGCGTAATGGCGGGCCGCTGACGGACTAGCAAGTGCGGGTGCTCCGCGGGGTTAAACGGAAGGTACCTACCCTGTAGTGCTATAAAGTGCAGAATCGGCGCCTTCCCTCCTCAAAGCTTGTCAACGGAAATAAATCTGACTATACTTTCAACGCTAGTGTCAGCCTATACTGTGCGTCTCTATTTCCACTTATACATATGGTGGCCGAGACTCGCCCACATATCATGAAAGTGCTACAAATTGTCTCCGACACTGGCCTTCTTACTGAAGGATACCAGCATAGATACAGCGGGGACTTGTACCAATGGCATTCGAGGTAGCACTTGATAGTGTTTACAGACCAATGGTCATATTCCAGTTTGATTTGAACATATAAGTTTATTGGTAATAGTGCTATGTGTTACATTTCAACATATGAACAAGAAGTAATGCTAGATGGCAGTTCAATCCTCTGTCGTCAGGAAAGCCCCAAAGCCAGAGCTTGTGCGCGCGCATCAATGGGCATTTAGCAGACACCCGAGGGGATGACGGTGCTGGCGACACGGTTCTTGAGAGCACCGTACTTGGCACCCTGTCCAAGACCACGCTTGGCGAAACCGGTCCAGATCTCACAGGCGTTCTCACCACCAGTCAGAGCCTCATCGGCATCGAGAATGGCGTCGCGGGCGTCGACAAAGTTGGGGCTGCAGGGTTGGCTGTTTTATCGATTGTTAGCAAAGCATGCTCTGGTAGAAAGGCAATCTCTGAAGGGAAATAACTTACAGAGCCATGCCGTCAATGACGAGCTTCATGGTCAAGAACTTTCCGTCGGTGGGAACACCGTTGGCGTCAAAGTCGGGGCGGGCGTTGTCGTTCTTGCCGTACTTGTCAATCAGGTTCCACATGACCTCGTACAGCATGGTGGTCCAGGTCTCGCCAATGTCGTGGACCTCGTTCTTGGAGTTGAGGGTCGTGTAGGTGTTGGGGTTGGTGGTCAAGCTGGTCGAGAACAGGACCGAGCGGATACCCTGGGGGTCGTTGCTGTCGAAAATTGTTAGCATTTGACTCTTCCTCTAAACATGAGTGAGAGTATCAAGTATTAGCGAGTATAGATTGTGTAGAAGGAAGATTAAGTGGGGCTAGCGCGCTGTGCAGCCAATCAGCTGGGACTAGCGCGAGTCCAGCCCCACCAACCTCACGATCGATCGTATACTCCCAGATACCAACAGAAAATGTATTCTGAGAGCAGATTCAAGAAAAACAAGCGAAAATCAATCGAATGGATGGACTTACTAGACCCACGCTCCCATTGGGTCTGAAACAGCGTTAGTTTACTTATATTACGTTGCAGAATGGTCTGGAGTACTTACAGTTGGTGTTGCGAGTGTCGGAGGGCTTGAGGCGGATGGCGGTGGCCATAAAGTCACCCCAACCCTCACCCATACCACCAGACTCGAGAGCGTTCAAGCAGTTGGAGTTGGCGGGTCCACCAGTCAGACGGGTCGAGAGACCGTGCGAGTACTCGTGGATAATGACACCGGCCTCGAAGGCGCAGTCACGGTAGGGGGTGGACTCGGTCCAGATGTACATGCGCATGCGGCCGGGCTTGCCATCGGGAGGAGTGGCAAAGTTGGCATTGTTGGTGCCAGAGCCGTCCTGGGCGTTGAGGATGGTGAAATCGCTGCCGGAGCCACCCTTGCCCTGGTTGTCGATCTGGAAGTTACCGGCCGCCTCGTCGAAGCCGAGGGTGTAGAGCAGGTCGTGGTACTCGTTGCCGGTGAAGAACAGCTGAGTGACCGAGGCGTCACGGTAGGACGTGGGAGGAGTAGCAGTGGCGGTCCAGGAGTACTCGAACTTGTCCTGAGCATTGGTAGGGCGGTAGTTGTTCAGGTAAGTGTTGCCGCCCGAGGGGTTGGTCTGGGCAATGGCGTTGTTACCACGGGTGGTGTGGTAAGTGCTGGTACCATCATTGAGCCAGGTGAGAGGAGACTCGGTCGTGTTCCAGGGGTCGGTCAGGGTCTCGCGGTCGCACTCATCGGGGTCGTTGCAGGCCCAGGGGAAGACGAGGTAGCTGGCCTCGGCGACGTAGTCGACAACACCGTGGACGACGTCGTTGGTCTCGGCGTCAATGTAGGTCAGCAGCCAGTTGTCGAGGATATCGGTCTCGACTCTCCAGGTGAGGGCCAGGGAGCCGTCATTCTTGACGTAGTACATCAGACGGGCCTCGGGGTCCTCCTGAGCACCAGAGGTGCCGGTGAGCTTGTAGGCCTCGGTACCCTCGACGGTCTCGGCGGCAGCCTCGCCAGTCACGGGCAGGGCCAGGATGCTGGTAGCTCCGTTCAAGGCGGAGACGGGGTCGGTGAAGCCACGCTTGCTCAGGGGGCTGTCGGCCGGGACCTCTCCGGTGTAGAAGTTGTTACCGTAGGAGAAAATGTGGCCATCCTTGCCAATGTTGACGTTGAAAGCGGCGTTGTCAACGTCAAGACCGTGGACAGTCTGCTTGAAGTAGACGTGGCCGATGCCGTTGGTGCCAATGTAGCTGTCGGAGACACGGAACTCGGCGTCGGGCAGAACGCTCTTGACCAGCTCAGTGGCGGTCTCGACAAAGTCAGCACGCTTCAGAACCTTGAGCGAAGCATCGTTCTTGTTCACGCTGGCGGGCTTGTAGATGGCGTTGGATCCAGTACGGTACTGGTTGAGATCCAGCGAGCGCTTGTTCAAGCTGGCCTTGTAGGCATCACGGTGGTCGCGGGCGTGAGGGTGGGCGAGCGTCATGGACGCGCCAATGACGAGGCTGGCCAACAGAGAGTAGCGCATCTTGGGCGAAAGAGCGTGACTGTGAGGGTTGAAAGAGAGACTGGGGCAACGGGATGGGAATCAAACCGCAAGCTGACCTGGATTTCTCTTTCACGGCCTCATCTCATGGCGTCCTCAACTCTTTATACCTAGATGGCCTCGCCGTTCTGTCCCAGGTTCCCCATCGCCAAGCCTTGCAACCATAACTTCCTTTTCCGAAGATAAGCTCATAGTGCAGTCTTGGTAAGTCTTGGGCCTGGTGGAGGACTTGCTTGGTCTTGGCACCGTCCAAGGTATATTGCGATATTCGTGACGATGTCTTAGTTCTAGAAGGTCAGCAGAAGGAGTAGTTGGGACACCATCAGTCTGTCTTGGCTCTGCCTTGGCGCTCTTGTATGCTCGTCGAGACGGATACCTAGGTCCAGGAATGGGAAGGTGACCCCGGGGGAAGGCCCGCAAATGGGTGTGCATGGTGAGGCACACCAACCTGATGGGCTAGAAGTTGAGATGAGGTGAAATAAACGGCGCAAGCGGGTACAGAAGGATGCACATGGATCGGCACATGGTACATAGCATCCGGGGGCCGGACGTCGGCGGAGCTGGAGCCTCGTATAGACATTTCCGGCGCCTATATGTTCCGAGACGTATGAAACCCATCTCTTTCCGCTTGAAGCAGAAGTTGTGCAGATGATTAACTACCGCCCGTCGTTGACTGTGATCTTTTTTCTTCTGTGAAGGTTCCCATGACAGATGTCCAGGAGCTGTGACTGCAATCATGCCAGACTACTTGCTATCGCTAGCAGCGAACACTGTTGCGACCAGTCATTGTCCATTTTCAGAAACCTCCCAGCTTGACTGGCCTCATGGGTCGGTCAAACTAGTCCATTTCAGATCCAACAAAAATCATGACGTGAATGAACACGAGATTTCTCCGTAGGCCGGTAGGGTCCATTTGGCCGCCGTAGGACTGTTTTCTGCTGCTGGTCGACCTAACAAGCGCACAGCGACACATACGGTGAATGTGAAAAGGCCTGGCAGAATAATGGCACATTCTTGTCGAGGCCTAGTTTTGAGCTTGGCAGCAAGTCGTGCTCAGCTTGGCGGAACGGCCCTGGTTGCTGAAGACAGGAACAGGCAATTTATAGGTCTTGGCGCAGACGACAGAGGAATCAATCATGCGACTGAACGGCGTATATCCGCTGGCTGACAGCATAGATAATGTAGGCTGTCTAGTCAATGACAGGGTATGCAACTATAATGGTTCCTGTGTAATCTCAGTGTGTTGACTAATAAGCGTAGGAGGACATGCGACAGTTTTTCGGTGGTGGTGGGCAGTGCCGCAGGGTCTCCATTGCTTGAACCAGGTCGGTGGGGCATTTCAAGATCACGACCTGCCTACCCGAGACTGGCTTACCGAGATGTGCTACACTGCGCCGTATGGGTGAGTGCTATGCCTGTCATCTGAATTGCATACAAGTTTCCTATTAGTCAATGATCATGTCACTGTCTTTCGTAAATGAAATGGCTCATGGCAAGTCCGTATCTCGCCAAGAACAACAAAGTGGTAGTGTACCAAGATTAGCAACGGGCAGAAGCGCGCATGTTCATCTCAACCATACGATTAGTGGGAATAGTGACTGACCACTAGCACTACCCGAATGCTAGAGTGACATTAATACTAGGTTAGGTAGAATCCCTGCTAAGCTGGGCCGTAAACAGTGGATGGAACCAATAGCGGCATCGCACAATAAGCTTATGTCTCACTGGCCGTGCGCAAAGATCTATCCTTCACCCACAGCTTGGCGCTTCTGAGGAGATCTCGTTTAAGCCTTTCTTTCATCAATGAAGATGGGCATGGAGCATGCATTGCATACTGTAGCCAAGACTGGTGTTCGTCCTTTCTTTGTTTTTCTTGTATAGAATTGCAACTCTTAGGGAAGTGAGTATAATGATGATAAAGCCGCTAGGTTCGTTACGTGGGTACTTGTTGAGGCTCTGCAATCAAAGCACATGGGCACGGTGTTTTCGGGGGACCTTGATAGACACCTTGAGGACCACTTGAACAAAGATATAACCAGGCCGGTCAGAAGCAACTTGCATTGCAGCTTGTTCTCTTGAACTCCACGCAAAATTGATGGCAAACTAACGAGGCATTCTTTCAATAGAACAAATGTCTCACGAGTTGGAGCGCCCTTCTGGCAGGGGTCGGGTTCATCTCCTTCTATATCAGGCTGGTTCCTCTTCGCTGACGGGGCCCCCGTGGACAACCCCGGTCTTTGCATGACCATGAGCAGCCAACGACAGAGCCGAAGTGGCAGACAGCAGCCATACCCCGATGACCTACCGTAAAAAGGCAATGCAGCATCTCGACTATCATCAGCGACACTACTCAGAGTGACGGTCAACGCCACGCAGAGAGCTATTTTGAAAAGTGGGAGTTGAAGGGAGGGGAAATACCATTTCCGACGCCGATGTCAAGGCCCTCATTGCAACGGGCCGGCCTAGGCCCAGCGATAATGCGAGGTTGTCCGGGCGCCGTGTGATCATGAGACTGCCGGACGGTCAAATAAGCGCGCGGGGACTTGAGATACGCGAATTGGTGGGCATTCTTGGAAGGCCGCGGTGAGCAAAGGGAACCATGCGTCTGCGGATATCGGGATACAGGTGTGCCGACGAATCGACATGATATGATACTAGGTGGCAGAGCGGTCAAGAGAAGCAACAGTTCGTGATGCCGGGCGGTGCTGAATTACCTGGGCGAATATCAAATCAGTGCAGCATTCATCTTGTCTCGACGGATGTACCGGCCAATACCCATGTTGTGGCATAATGCAAGAAACCTTTTACCAGTTTCTGCCAATACATCTGGGAGGATAGTAGCGACCATATCTTCCATTCCATGATCATACAATCGGGCATAACCAGTTCAGACGTCCAAACGCTCATTGAAAAAATCAGAAAATCATCAAGCCCGATAGCTGAGATGTCAAAGGTGACAATGGGAGGATACAAGCATCTGATCACGAATTACACAAGATGTGGTCCATAACTCGAGGGGCCTCGCAAACATGGACAGCACTGGCTGAAAATGTTCAAAAGAAAAATGCGGGAATTTAATACAGATGCAAATAATGTATGAGTTACAAATGACTGCCCGATCATTGAAATGTACACGTGGAGTGCCAGAGTTGGTTGAAAAGGTATGCATCACACTGAAGAGCATCAACTGGAGCAAGAAGGTTGGATTGAATGTTCTAGACTAGGTTGAATGTGAAGGTAATGTTGAAATGATGGAAGTATTGAACATGCGGTTCCTGGGTTCTGAACAGGAGACCTCACCATTCAAATCAACGGGCAACTCATCAACCGCGGATTCCTCCGAGTGAAGTACACTAGCTTGATGGCACTGGTTCCCAGGCACAAGTTGTGTACTGCTAGCTCGAGCATTGGGTGACAATGTTTCAGACGCATCATTTGAATCCAAGCTGAGATGTACAAAACCACTGTAGTTGGCAGGAGTTTTGGGGGTGGGTTGGCCGCGCATCCCTTCAATCTGATCATGGTGAAGTGCTCGCGAATGGATCCACCCAGATACTTATTTTTTTTTGTAATTCTTGAATATCTTTCTGAATTATTTTGGCTTGGTTCTCAGTTGTCATCTTTTGATCTTGACATGAAGCTTTGGATGCTCCTCCATGTTTGAAGCCATCGTGGCCCTACAAAGAACGTGCCAGTGTACCGGCGCGCAGGACTGCCCAGGTACCGGTACGATGCAAACGGCCACTTCTATTCAGGCAGCGTGGCATGGTTGTTAAGATGTAGACAATCAAACGTCTGGCTGTTGAATAGAGTCGGCGTTCAATCTTGTCTGTGGGCGCATTATTTTCTCTTCCTTTCATTCCCTTGGTTTATCCAACCTACAGGAACTTGCTTCATACTATCAACATGATGTTCAGTCAGATATTCCATAGATGACAGTATAATTGATAGAAATCATGATTTCTATTTGATTATTTTGTAATATTTCTAGATTTTCAGTCATGAGGATGATCAAGATATGTTATCGGAACAACTTGGCCTCGGCTATGTGTGTTCATCCACCAAGTTGACGGTCATCATCTCAAGTTTTCGGCGCATCACCCGCTCACAAATCTCAAAAGACGCGATAAACACAGCGGAACTGGCGCGGTGTTATTATTTGCAAAAGGCCCGTTAGGGGTCTTACACCTGGCCAGTCGATGCTGCACGTTTCGGTTGGCAATTCGTCATGATGTGATATTGTCGTGACCTGGTTTCCTTTTGCTCCTGCTTTCACCCTCTATTTGAACGCCTGCAGATAGGAGCGGGCAAGAGCCAAATTTACCGTATTCGCGCCAGCCGTGGTACACAAAACGGCCTCACACTAATTGTGATTGCCATAAGTAAACTTGATTGAGCGTCTATCATTTTTTGATGTGTTTGACGGAGAATAATCGGCAGCCGCTGGTCCGCAGGAATCTTCCGTTACCTCCAGAGTCTGTTATATCTCTTGCTGGCTTGGCCTCCGCAACACTCTCCGTTGCGGGGCCGGTGGAGGCGGAGGTCGTCTCCAATATTGGGTGCCGGAGCCCGGTTAACCAGCGGAGGTCCGATTTGCTGCATTCTTGAGGGCCATTCATATGAGTAATGGATTAAGTCGAGATCCAAAGCTCCAATCGAGTTCTTTGATACTTTGTTCCATTTGGATATGAGAAGTCAATCAATGTCAACCCGTCTTTCAAGTCAAGGTGCTCAGAGATCAGAATGGTATTTCATCGTATCAAGCAGTCGGAAGAGATGTCGCGAGGTACACTGGAACAAGTCACGATGTTTGATGGCCTTAAGATCTGCGCACATGTATTCTTATCATTCTGGGCATCAAATAAGGCAAAAGAACAACCGTTGTATGCAGACTGGGTCCAGAGGGCAAGACGTTCCATACATTATTTCGGCCGCCTCAAGCCCGGATCCAATGCCGAACTGTAAAAGTATACCTATGAATCCTTTGTAACCGGAAGCATGTTTTGGGAAACGCTATACGGGCTGATATCTGTGGATTGATCCGTCTTTCACTCAATTTCTGGTCATTCTTCACACAATGTCAACGGAAGTTAAGGAGCAGGTCCACCAAGAGGCAAGGTAAAAGTAAAGAGACGACGGTATGCCATTCAAGTAGTCCAAACTTCAAGGATCATTTTCCTGGGTAGCGGTTGGCGCTAACTGAACCAGTCGTAGCGTGCTACAATGTGCTACTGGGTGCAGTAACCCCAGCTCTTCAAGCCCTGGAAGGTCCCTGAAAGCAGGATGGCTAGCGGGGAAATTTACACACCTACAGTGGGGCCAAGATGGATCAACGTCCAGAATCGGGTCCGTTGATCTGATGACTCGCACGGAACCATAACACACAACATTCAAGGGGTTCTCGTACGGCTCTTCGCGATTGACCAAATACAAGTTAAAAATACTAGGAGGAAGTTACGAGCGTCAGTCGATGGCCGAGTCGATCAGGTGAGATATGCTTTTGACCTCTACTCCAGGTTCATAGTCACTCACCTAGACCCAGATCAGTTTCGGCGTGCTTGAGGTGCAGACGGCAGAAGCTTCGGGTGAGCATATTCCATGACCACTACCACCAGACACCAGACGGGCTATACAATATCTGATGCATCTGCCACAAAGTTCCAGATTGGATGCTGACCCGCGATAATAAAGTGTAGTGGCCCAAGTCAAATACCCTGCCAAAGATGTACCACCAGCCGGTCCGAATGTGTCTTTACTGCACCTAGAGCTGCGCGCCCACTCTTGGAAGCCGCCAGTCTTGCCTCTAAGTGAGTGGCATGATTATAGGAATGTCTGAATGGCCGAATTGACTGGCAAATCAGTGACAAAGTTGCTCTGCTGGAGCAACGCTTGAATGCTGTCGAAGGCCGACTCAGAGGCGAGATCGATGCCCTCAAGAGTACGGTCAATGAGCTGCGGACCGCCAATGTATCTGATAGTAGTCCAATCGGTCTTTCGGAAAGCTCGATTAGTTCTCGCTACACCTTGGGTACCAGTTCTCACAACGTCATACAAGATCGCGATAATGTGACAATAGGATCTGTCGGAGAACAGCAATGGCAAGCGTTGCATTCATTGTACGTCCAAATAATCTGGTTCAGAGAACCGTTACTTATTATTAATCACTATTAGCTACAACGAAAACTGTAAAACCGTGATTGCCTTCATGGATGATCAATTCTACCCGCCAAAAGACCTTGTCAGACAGCACCCTTTACTGTCAACCGTCATATGCTTGATTGCATCGCGGGCCATTATGCCCGAAAGATATCAGTCATTCCTTGATGAGGCCGACGACCTGGTCAAGAAGACTTTTGGAGGTCCAACGCCCGATCTCTTGACGGTAAAGGCTTTGATGTTGCTTGCAGTTTGGACCGGACGATCTCGACTTTGGGGTTACGTTGCTTCGGTCGCTGCCGAATTAAGACTGAATACCGCCGTCATTCGCCTCGGAGATGACGCATTTCAACATTCCGTCGATATTGTAGATCATGCAAGAACATGGTTGTCATTGTGCTGCTTCGATCTTGTGTAGGAGAACCTATCTGCCATTCTCATTGTTGTCAACGAAGGCTGATGTATACAGGATGAACCTCAACCGTCCCTTTGTCATTAACAGAATGAGGGACTACTTGCCATTCACGGCAAATCTTCTTTCATCACCACACCGACGGCCGGTAGATTATCGGATTGCTGCATATATTGAGGGATTTGCTATTGCTGGTGAGGTCCGGCACCCCTGAGATTCTGTTTCTTGCGCTGATTTTGTGTAGCTGATGCCAAAACACAATTACAAAACACCAAACTCCATGTCTCGCCACTGCCTTCTGATGTAACATCACTTTTGGACCTGTCAAATCAAAAGATTGACAGGTGGTTTTATGAGATTAACAACAAGATGAATCCTCTATATCAGACATTCCAAGATAGGCAGGATCGGAACCGATTCTTGGTACCGTACAGCTTCTTGAAAATGTGAGCTTCTTTTATTGTTGATACCAAGACATATCTGACCATGCGTTTCTTATGCAGTTACATTAATGGCTTTGCACTTTACGGTGTGCAGCCGGACAGCGATGCGCCAGACAGGATTAGACTGGGATATGTCCAAGAAGCTCTGGACAGTGCCATCCTAGTAATCAGAACTCAATGCGATTCACCCGCTCTACGCAAAGGGCTCCGATATACAATGGTAAGATCTCTTGACTTTGACCGATGCTTCATATTCTCAAACGTGCACAGGACTATAACGGCATCACCACGTACCATGCGATAAACTACATTTTGAAGGCAATGACTGCCGCGCACCAACATCTCAACTATTCAATGGTATTTCCCGCACTGCATCAAGCTGCACAGATGTTTGAAGGGGCCGGGTCAGTAGATGCTGCGAATGACATTCGTAAAGAGCAAGATAAATTGGCCATGCTCACGAATACCGTCTTGTCACCCGAGGTCTTGGAACATGGCAATGCGGAAAGAGAAGCAAATCAGCTTTTCGATATCCCCAGCTTTTGGGACGAAGCGGTCAGATCATTCCAAGCGTGTCATTTCACGAGGTGCCGCGCTAACATATGCTCAGAACTGGGACGATGCATTCCCCGAGATGAATGTGTACACGCTCGACTGAGTGAAATCATTTATCGCATTAACTTTCTACACCTCGCTCTTCTCTACAAATTCGGGTGTATGACTTATTGCAAGTCGGCCCAATAAGCAACTTAGAGCACGTAGCGGAAGTGCGGGTTCTCTTTCTGCAAGTGGTCATTAGCATCGAACTGTAGAGTTTGAGTATCAAACAACTTACATCCGTCAGATCCGAGAGACTTTGCTCAGTATCGAATGAACTTTCCTGGTTTTGCGCGGCACGATCGCGCTACAACTCTGTCAGCCCTCATATTCAGCATACTTGGTCGTATGCAGCTACTTGCCTTTCGATTCTCGAAAACATTCTGGAAGTAGGATCCAACAAGCAAGATCACCTGGAATGCAAAAGCTCCAATGATGACAGCGAATCCAGTGCGGTACTGCGGGGCTTCCCTTTCCAAAAAGACTTGAGGTCCGATCAAATTGCCAATGCAGTAACTGACAAAGACAGAAGACGTAAAGACATTCTTCTTTGTTCGTCCCGCAACATTGGCCTGGATTATACCAAGACCCTGGACAAACGCCACGCTGAATCCGACAATGATGTAGTAGCCAAACAAGCGCCCGACACGCTGCTCATCGGAAAGACCATAGATGAGACTGGACCCAAGAATGGCAATCAGAATACCTCCGATCATCAAAAAGTGTCTGCAGCCATTGACTTTTGCCGCCAAGTATCTGTAAATTGTGAAAACTCTCGTTAGCGGTGAAGACCGTCACTTTGGACTCTTATACATACCCAGCAATCCAAAGAGCCATCACCTGCGTGGCGCCCGTTGGCATACCCAGTAGTGTTGCCTGAAACTTGGTGAATCCGAAGCCGTTGAGGATGAGCGGGCCAAAGGCGGTGATGGCGCCGTTTGGAATACAATTGACCAGCATGTACAAGTTCATGACCCAAAAGCGCGTGTCCAAGAGGGCCTCCTTGACCTGATACCATTTGATGGTTTTGTTGTCGATGCCAGTCTCGTTCTCGAGCAGGCGAAGGACGGCAATCTCCTTCTCCTCGGCTGTCAGCCACGACGCCTTGGTTGGGTTCGATGGCGCAAAGAAGGTGAAGACTAGACCCCAAAGAATGGTTGCCGAGCCAAAGATGACAAAGGGGTACTTCCATGACGGGAGCGCCGAGTCAATGTATCCAATGCCGTACGCAATCAGGCCACCCAGAATCTGCGCTACTCCGTTCATCGAGAACCAAATACCTGTTCTCAGGGGCTGTTCGCTCCTACAATTAAGAGCAGTTAGTAATGAAATCGACCTGACCTTTCGCCTTTCGGACGACTCTTACCTCTTGTAGAACATGGTCGTCATCAATACGAAACAAGGCGAGACGCCGGACTCGAGGGCGCCGAGGAAGAATCGAGCCGTGGCAAGGCCAGCGAAATCGTCGGCGGCCGTCATGCACAGCAGTACAAGACCCCATAGGGTGATGAAGATGCCACAGGTACGGGCAATGTTGAAATGCTGGAAGAGGAAACCGACGGGGAACTCAAAGAAGAGGTAGCCAAGGTAGAAGATGGTTGTCAGCCACGAGTATTCGGATCCTACGAGGTGGGCGTCCTCCTTCATGCCCCAGAGAGCGGCATAAGAGACACAGGACTTGTCGAGGAACTATACGCAATTTTAGCAACGGAGGTGTTTCATCGGAATTGGGCGATTATTTCATTTGCGTACCTGGATCACTATGAGATTGTTAGCATCAATCTCCAAGGCTTTACTAGACGTGCATTCCGGAAATCTTTCTCTCTCATATTTTCTTTTCTAGTTTTTCTTCTTTGTTTCTTTTTCCTCAATCGCATTTTGCTAAAACAGAAAATGACTTACTATAAGTTATCATCAACAATGGCATGAGGTGAAGATCAATCTTTCGCAAGACTCTCTTGGCCTCGGGGCCGTCTGGATCAATGTGAGACACGGCGCCGGTGAGGGCGACAACACCGACGTCGCATCCTTCGACAACCTTTTCTGATACGTGCTTCTCCTCATCCCGGGGCTCACTGCCCGCGGGCTGGCCTCCGGGGTGTACATTTTCGGTCGTCATGCTGAACGGAAACGCTATCGCAAGCGCTTTTTCAGAAGGAAAGAAGACCCGAGGACAATGTTTTGATGCTTGAAAGACAAGTCACTCTGTAAACACTCCTTGGGGAGGGAGGAGATATGGGCAGTGGGTAAAAAGAAATACCACGAGGAGTTGAACTTTATTTACCATATGCCTATCAGCCGCTGCCGCCCGTATCGTACTGTAGGTACGGAATAAATCTAAACTACGCACATCAGATGATCAATCTGCGTTCGCGGCCTCGAACCCTGGATTATCTCTCCAAACAACGTATGCCCGCCCCCAGATAGCAAAAGGTCGTCTGTCAACCCGTCTGAACCAACGGTTTGGAGAGACTAACGCAGCCATTGTGGATCATGCGGTTTCTTGGCTTGTGTCTTGCTATCAATCAAGTTCCATCTTGGGGGTTCTTTTCTAGCTAGCCCGCGGAATACAGACCATGAACTTTTGGTTGTTTCTCTGTTTGGGGGAGAGTGGAATGGAGCCCACGTTTGTTCGGAATCGATAACGGCAGAACACTCCCGATATGCATTGTTTAGTATCACCCCGGATTTGTTTAGTCATATCTTCTCTCCCCTCATGGGTTTACAGGGGCTAGATAACAATCTGGGGCTGATCAAGAGCGACAAGACCGGGAACGGTTCGGGTCGGTGCCATCGGTCCGGCCGACTATCGGTCCAGCCGAACTGTGCCGGTTATAGTCCTGAATCGGCAGTCTGGCAAGAGGGGTTCAATTGGTATTAGGCTTCGTGATTCGTTGACGAGTATGGAATTACGTTGTTGTTGAATGTGTAGGTCTCTTGATGATATAATTTCTTGGCATTTATTTACTTCGTTGCTTCATCGAATTTTACGTTCGATTTGTGTTTCTATTCATTTCTCAGCCTGGGCATTGAGTACGGGTGGCCACTCTCAGTATTCGTGATATACTGCAAGTCAAGTTTTATTGATCAATATTTGAGAGAACCATGAGAATGCGCGTGCAAGATCCCAACGCCTCAGATGCGGTTTTGCTGCCGATTGATGTGGTGAGCGAGACCGTCCACGCCATTGACACGGCCAACGACGAGCTCCGCCGGGTGAATTTGGAGGTAAGTTTGACTCGATTGAAATCATTGACAGAAAGATACAAGAGCTCTATAACTAACATTATAATACAAGATATACAACAATCCCGAGATTCTCTTCCAAGAGACGAGAGCGTGTAAGCTGCTCTCGGACTGGTTCGAATCGAGGGGGTGGACCGTCAAACGTGGTGTCTACGGCATAGAGACGGCCTTTGAGGCCCGCTTTTCGGTCCGGGAGGGAGGCCGGACGGTATGTTTTAATGCCGAGTATGGTAAGTTTGACCGGGAAGACGGCGGAAAGAGGTCTGCGGGCCCTCCGAAAAGCCAATAGACCCAGCCATGCTAACAAAAGATCTATATTCAAGACGCCCTACCTGGTGTAGGTCACGCCTGTGGACACAATCTCATCGCCACGTCGGCAGTAGCCTCGGCCGTTGGCGTCGAGGCCGTCATGAAGGCGCATAATCTGGCGGGCACGCTGGTCGTCATGGGAACGCCGGCCGAGGAGACGGGCGGTGGAAAATGGATCATGGCCAAGAACGGCGCGTGGAAGGGCTTTGATGCCTGTGTCATGACACACGGCATGCCCAATTTTAGCAGTACGTAATTTCGAGAGGGCACATCACGATGGAGAACTATTTAACTGACTCCTGGTTACTTTGTGCAGCACCTATGTGCCAGACCAAGGCGTCGTGGAAGATGCGAGCCAAGTTTCACGGCAAGACAGCACACGCTGCCGCAGCCCCGTGGACGGGTCGCAATGCCTGTGATGCCATTGTGCAGGCGTACAACGGCATTGCCCTTCTGAGACAACAGATTGAGAAGACGGAGAGTATCCAGGGCTGCATCCTGGAGGCCGGCAAGGCGCCGAACCTGATCCCCGACTACGCCGAGGGAGTGTTTAGCGTCCGGGCCCCGACTTCGCCGCAGCTTGAGGCGCTCCGCAAGAGGTTTGAGCCAATTTTCCACGGTGCGGCCGCTGCTACGGGGTGCACAGTTGAGCTTGACTGGTAAGTTGCTTGTGTCCAAGATTCTACTAGTCCGTGGTGGTTCAAGCATTGACGAAACCTTGCTCGACAGGACTGCCCTATATGAAGACGTTGTCACCAACATGACACTGGCAGAGCAATACCGCCAGTACATGATCCAGCATCTCGGTGTGTCACCAAAAGACATGATCCCCTTGAATGAAGCCAAGACTGCATATGAGCAGAACGGTAGCTCGTAAGTAGTCAACTTCCTTGCCTGTAAGATCCTCATAGCAAAGCACAGCCTGCTGACCAAAAGATGTAAAGTGACTTTGGATCATGCTCATATATTACGCCTGGAATTCAGGCCATGTTTACCATTAATGCCGCCGATCTGCCGCACTCGGCCAAGTTCAAGGAAGCTGCTGGACTTGACTTTGGGCACACGGAAGCTCTTCGGGCTGGCAAGGCCAACGCATTGATCTGCCTGGATGTCTTGATGAACGAAGAGTTTGCCGCCAAGATGAGGGAGGAATTCAAGGAGACGATGAAAAAGGCAGGGCGCTGGGAAGGGGAAGCATAGGTGAACTTATCATTCGTCAACAAGACCAAAATAAATCTGTAAAACCCGAGCATAGCCACTTGCGAATAGGACAATTTGACGGGGCGCTCCAGTGCTCCAGCTTACTGTCATCGTATGGTTTGTTGACTGCTCGAGGGACGAACGTTGGGGTTCCTCCGTGGTAATGGGCGGTGAGTGGTGGATTCCTTTTGCCTCTGGTGCGTTGTAGCATCATGTGATGTTGGTTGACCGACTGCGATAGTCCATCTCCAGAGAATCTGCCAGAGCTCACTGAGATCATGGCAATCAAAGCGCCGGACCTTGACTGAAGAGGGGGGCTCTGTTCTGTTTTGGAGCCTTGGCACTTGTACTACGGAGGCAGCATTCCGTCATTGGGCGGTTTGATACGAGGTGGTAACGCAAGAAATAAACGTTTTAGGGCACTCGCAGGGTCCTGGCGGCGGGCGCCGTTGAGGTTCCATTGATGTCTCTGCCGCCGTCATGCCAAGTAGTGTAACACGGGCTGTTCCTTGGTTATAATTCTCCGGTCGCATCTAGCCGTTACGATAGGTGGTCTATTACCTACTGCTTATATCAAATCGGATCAAGACAAACAGGCGGACAAGAGACAACATTGGATCATTCTTGCGGCTGGTGGTTTAAAAAAAATGTAAAAGCGGGCACGGCACAAGATTGTTTAGTGGGCTCGGGCAATGGAGGTAGCGCCGGCTTGGCTGGTTACATCGTGGATCAGATGGGGGTTGGGAACTGAATCGGTACAGGTAGGGAGGCGGAGGCAGGGCAGGTAATGGTTATTGACACCTGCTGGACACTGGAACTGGACGGACAGACAGACTCGAATAGAAGGCATTAACTGCAATTCCAGGGCCAATATGTAGCGGGTCGGCACTGCAGCTTTTACAGCGGGTAACCGCTGCAAGTGGTAGTCACGGTTGATGTACTAACCTGCTAGACTGAGCCGGTGGGGCTGCCCGGCTGCTGCTGCGCCATGGGCATGGTCCAAGTTCGTCTCTTCCTTTAAGCTTAGGACAAGCTTATGTGGGCAGACGCACAGTTGAGAGAAACCTCAATGGACCATTCAATAAGCAAAGAAACGGCGACAATCATGAAGCTTCATACCCGGGATCTGCCAAGAGAGGCCGACCAACGTTACTGCTGACAGCTGGTGCTCTTCAGCCTTGCTCAGCAGCTGAATCCGTCGTGGTGAGGCGACTGGGCTGAGCACCGTCTAGCAGCTGCATCTCGTCAATGGTCGCATCCAAACATGAAAAGTCCCCTACTCAATGGATGTAGCACGGGAAACCACTACGATGGGCCAATCTCGACCAACGGAGCAGCCGGCTAATAACTAACCACGTACTAAGAATGAGTGCTTACTTGCAAGGCAGGCAAACTTCACTGGCAAGAAGTCATCATGATAAATCTGGGGAGACGGCATCTCCTCGCTAGGGGCTACCTGGAAGCACCCTGTTAGCGCATCGACCTTTTGCTAGGATATCCGCCGCTACCCTGCTAAAATTGGCAGCTCTCGTAGAGAATACGAAGAGATCGGCAGCGACAACAACACAACTAGACCCCACTGTCCCCAAGCGTCCACTACCGGTCCTGCTGGGCAACACGAGATGTGGTGGAATCGCACCAGAAAATCGGCTTGTTCCATTGTCACGGGACCCCGGATTGTCGTGTTGGAATTGATGACCACTAGGTAGGTATAGTAGGTAGTAGCTATGGATGGTATCGACGGAGCTCGGTTGTCAACCATGGATGCCAGCATGTAGGTAGGTTATGCGACCCGATACGATTCCATTCGGTCAGCCAAGTCACGATGTCATGTTACGTAGGATTGATTGATCGTGTCGAGGGAAGCTACAGCCTCTCCTCTCAACCATCGACTATATAGAGGGTCAAGTCCAACCCTCTAGAGTTGGTCTTGCTATCTCATCATCATCAACAACAATCACAACATTTCTCTTTGCAGAACAATTCTTCAAGACATCTTCCGTCAACACCACATCTTCCATAACCAACCCAACTCAAATAAACTACATCAATCAACATGTTCTTCTCCAAGATCGCCAGCGTTCTCGCTCTCGCCGCCGTTGCCGCGGCCGATACTGGTAGGTCCATCAACGGATACAACCGGGCAAATGCATGTCTTGACGACCATTACTAACAATCACACAACAGTCGCCTACGACACTGGCTACGATGATGCCAGCCGCTCGATGACGGCCGTCTCCTGCTCTGATGGCGCCAACGGCCTCATCACCAGATACGGCTGGCAAACTCAGGGTGCCGTTGCCGGCTTCCCTTACATCGGTGCTGCCGCTGCCGTGTCCGGCTGGAACTCTGACCAGGTAAGCCAACTCCTATACTATACACTATCTCCACTGCGGGTACTTGACGGTGAATGGAACGCTGACCCGACTCCTTTCAATAGTGCGGTACCTGCTGGCAGCTCAGCTACAACGGCAAGACCATCAATGTTCTCGCCATTGACCACGCCGCCGCTGGCTTCAACATTGCCCTGGACGCTATGAACGCCCTGACTAACGGCCAGGCTGTCGCCCTCGGTCGCGTCGACGCCACTGCTACCCAGGTTGCCGTCAGCAACTGTGGTCTGTAAACGACTTGTCAAAAAAGTAATTCACGATTTGTATGCATGGACGGCGTCTTTGGGAATTTTTGGGTGCAATAGCATAAGCATCATCGACATGAGAAGCATTAGCATAGAGACTTAATCATAATCGATTCACACTCCTTTACATAAACCTGTCTGCATGCATTGTCAACTGGTGAAAGTGCAATCTATCTCCGTGGTAGATACCATTACGGAACAAGTCTTGATTTACAAGGCATCCAATAATACTATACTACCCCATGCAGAAAATCCAAACACACAATGCGTCTCACCATACCAGAATATTACCTATGACTTGAAAGCTCTAATTGGCCCACAGGCTTAGACATGGCATGGTCAACTCGCAATTCAATACTATGCTCCACTGTGTCGGGTAATCAATTGTCTGTCCTCAAGACCGTCCATACAGACTACCCGACGCTCATTTCAAGTCACACATTGAGACGCGCTTGTTCATAACCGAATAGCCTATGTCTAGCTCCAACTATCGGTCTTCTATATCTATGTAAAAGTCTAACCATCACACATTACCGATTAGTAACATCGGCGGCGTTAGTAATCCACTCTACTAGCTCGGACAATTCGGCGCGCGAGCAGAACAGCTTGGCTGTGGGGGGAACCCGGAGCATAGCACGGAGTTAGAATCGACTCTACTGCTTTCAAGTTCGGGCGGACTATACTCTAACATGGTGCGAAGCGGCCGCTTGTCCGTAAGGCATATGGCCGCCAAAGTCCATGCGATCAATATACTATATGCCAAGTATGACGATGACCTGAAATACTTGAGCTTTGTCTATGGGTGGATCCTCGAGTATATAAAGGCCAGGACCGTGAGCGTACTTTGACAAAAGCTCACCATGCCATTGAATCATTATATAAAGATCATCAATACTGAACAACAAGTAATTTCGACCTAGAAATCTGCACAACATTCCTCCGAGATGAGTTCCAAGTCAAGAATGCTGTTGCGCGGCGGTGTCCTGCTGATCCACGACGCAAACAATCACGTCGTGCCCACCCAAGCAGACCTGCTCGTAGAGGGCCAGCTCATCTCCGGCATCGCCGAGCACATTGACGTGGATTCAGATATCAAGGTCATTGACTGCCGCGGCAAGATTGTCAGCCCGGGCTTTATCGATACCCATCGCCACCTCTGGCAGACGCAGTACAAGGGCATGCATGCCAACGAGACCCTCATTGAATACCTTCCCCGGGGCAATGCCGGCTCGGTTCTCTGGTCCCCCGAGGATCTCTTCTGGGGCCAGCTATCGGGAGCGCTGGAGTCTATTGAGGCCGGGACAACAACTCTGGTTGATCATTCTCACTGCAATGTTACTCCAGAATATCGTGAGTATTAGCCAAGTAGTCATGATGCATGACACGACCAAGATCTTCACAAGCTAATGCCACTCCAATAGCCCAAGCTGCAACTCAAGCTCTACTGTCTTCAGGGTTACGTGCAGTATACTGCTACACTCCGCCCCAAAGACTCAAGTCCCGCGAACCGTGGAAGACCGAGGGCGCCGCTTCAGACGAGACATTTGCCGACTACCAGGCGCTAGCCCGGGGCGGCCCGTACGGTCATGGCCGAGTCCACATTGGCTACGCCAACGACGACCTGTACTCGCCCGCCGAGGTGCTCAAGCCGCTGTACGCCAAGCTGCGGGACCCGGCGCAGGGAAAGGCCAAGATCATCACGACACACACCATCGGCGGGCTGATGGCAGGGGACGAAGACGCGCCCACGGCGGTCCAGATCCTCGACTCGCACGGGCTGCTGGGCCCGGACGTGCTCCTGTCGCACGCCAACTGGCCGCACCAAGGCGACGGGGAGCGGTACCGGCGCTCCGGCGCCCGCGTCTCGAGCACGCCCAATACCGAGCTGCAGATGGGCCGCGTCGCCGTCGCTCTGCGCGACGATCACTATGCAAACGCCAGCATCGGCGTCGACTGCCACAGCTGGGGCGTCGCGGGTATCCCGGGACAGATGCGCCTCCTCCTCCAAGCGGCGCGGGGCGATCGCGGCGAGGAACTCACGCGCAAGGGCCTGTGGACGCGCAAGGTCGGATTCTCGGCCGAACAGGTCTTTAACCTGGGTACACTGGGCGGGGCCAAGGCGTGTGGTCTCGAGGGCGAGATTGGGACTCTCAAAGAAGGGTTCAAGGCCGACATTGTGATTTTCGACGGCGAGACTCCGAGTATGCTCGCTGCGGCCGAGGAGGACCCGGTCGCTGCTATTGTGATTCACAGCAACCCGGGCGATATTGATGCTGTCATAATTGATGGCGTTGTGCGCAAGGAAGGGGGTAAGCTCGTCGACGTGGACGTGGTTGCGGCTCCGAATGCAGCAAAGAGCCAAATCAAGCCCGGGACAAGGATCACATGGAAGGAAGTGGCACGTAATGTTCTGGGGAGCCGGAAGAAGCTTCTCGAGAGGGAGAAGGGCATTGATTTCAAGACGGCAGAGGACACGACTATCGATGGATATCATATGAACAGAAAAGCATTGCTGGAAGATCAGTAGTTGATATGTTGGTTGTGTCTAGCAAATTGAAAATATGCTTTTTACATGGCAACATATGGGCAAGTCGCACAGTCATATGCTGACCAAAAGCTATTGAGAAACTTTTCAAAATGACAGGTTTCACCTAAGCATTACATTGGCTCATGTATCAATTACTTACATGCAGACGCTCACCTGCATAGCGACGCCTTGAGAACGCTACCTACCTAGGTATGTAAGCAAGGCGCCTCTTCGGATCTGTATTATGACCGGTCTTGAGAGAATCATCTCGCCAAGGATATCGAACTTCTCAACATCCCTCCATACCCAGCTTATCCCCTGCGAGCGGCCAAGAATTGGTTGAGTTTGGTTTTCGGCAATGCTGGTCATGGCCATGGCAGCTATTCTCACCACTCTCGCGGTAAAGATACACTCCATCTCGGGACTTAATGGTGCAATTTCTGGTGGCCATTATGCTGTTCGACAGAACCTTGCATTGTGCTCTTCTTGACATGATACATTCCTATGCCTCGACATACTGCAGCTTATTTGCAGCAGCTTACAAGAACCACTCCTGGTTAAAGTTAGAAAGTATCGATTCCAACAACTTACAGAAACTCCTAGGTACAGCCAGAAGCTCCCTATTATAGCCCGATAAAACAGATGACAACGATAACAACTTTTAAAACTTCTTTGCTTTACAAAGACTATGGCGTTGATTTGTCCATTTTCTTCAAAAACTTATTCTTCGGACATATCAACAAATAAAAACACTCAAATATATCCAAAACGGGTAATTATCGTCAAATGAAACGCGAAAGTGCCATCCTAATACATCTATCACCAAACGTAAATTCGAAAAGTAACACTTGATTAAGTTACAGAGATCATTCAAGGCAAATCGGTTTCCATTGCAATGTGGCCGGATAACTATGTTACAAAAAAGTTGATATTATCAAAGACTTGATCCGCTCGATGCGAATCCGCTCCTCATGCTCCTGAGCCTCTCAACCTTCTTGCCATTGATTGCAAACGTCTCTCTGCCCTTTTTTGAGAGCGCGGAGCCCAATTTTGAAAATTTGAATGCGCATTTTGGTCTAGCCGAGCACGGTAAAGCTGCCGGGCTTGATCAGTAGCTGCAATGGCATTCTCAAGCTCTAGATCTGATTCAGGAGACCCATGATTGTGTGGTGGCAGGCCACCCACGGACTGCCGCATTGGAGACTGTGGTTGCGCTGGTGGCAAGTTCTCTGGAGACTTCTGCATGCTAGATGGTTGTCGTGGTGGCAAGCCGCCCAGGAATTGGCCCGTTGGATGCCGTGGTTGCGCTGGTGGCAAGCTCGCCGGAGACTGCTGCATGCTAGATGGTGGTCGTGGCGGTAGGCCGACCACGGACTGACGCGCTGGATACTGTGATGCCCGCAAAGTCGTTGATGCGCGTCCGGCATGGCGGACCAGTGGGTGCGGTGGTGTTTGTCTCCTGGAGGCATTGAACGACTCGGATGATGGAGAGAGTGCTGATGGCTGAACTGAAGTTGCTGCTGCGGGTGGAGCGCCAGAGGGCTGCGCCTAGTTGTACCGTTAGCATAAAGAAAATATAGAAGAAAACATACCCCCCGAGGGGAGGAAAAAAAAAAACTAACCTCTCCCAAGGCACTCGATCTCGAGCCTGTGTGTGGCAGCATTATGCTATGTTGACAAATTGGGCACTTCTCTTTTTGCTGGTCTGCGAGTTGTTCCGTTTTGCAGTCTTTGTGCGATGCAGTAGTAGAATCTACTGAGATTCTCTAGACAGAAAAAAGTTTGTGGGAAATCGAAAAACGGGGAGTGGAAGTTGGCGGAAAGAGCGAGCGGCTCATGTAAACGCCGGAGGCAGAGGTGGTGGGAAAGAACGATCACCGTGTCAACGTGCTAAAGACCAGACCTTCTTCTTAGTACAACGTTCCATTCACAAAATATTGTCGCACATCATGTTTCAGAAAGTCTTCTGGAGTACTATTACGTTCGAGTGTCTGAAGGAAGGTCTTTGATTTTGCCCGGATCTTTAATAAATATATACCTACCTAAGCAACCCCATATCCTGCAATAGAGAGTGTTGTATTTTATGCAAGTCGACTTGTTTGTGTTCAGCATGGGGAATCGAATCCCAGTTGATATTGCGAGTGGTCCAGACGAGGGTGAGGGAAAACCCTCCGGGAGAAGCCTGCGAGTCTTACTGTGTGTGGGATAATTTGAGGCTGGCTGAAGGGGAAATGTATTTTCCAGCACCACATGATTGACATAGCGCAGGATGCCATCTTTCTCCTGGATGGGACATGCTTTTGCTCAATACTGGATCCGTTTGAGGCGGCGGTGGATGCTGACTGCCAGTCTGTACCGGAGACTGCAGACCTCATGGGACTTGTGGAGGTACGAGGCGGTCTGGATAAGGGCATGAGTCCGGTACCTGGAGTTCAGGACAGAGGCGGATGTTATCGCAAGATCCAGTGACCAGATTTGGGGAACTATAGAACGTGAGTAGAAACTGAAGCGGGCTCATGATGGCTCAGACATGAAAAATAGACTATGGTACGGAGATTTCATCATGCCACTGCTCCGGGGTTCAGACGTGCAAGAATCCGACTGTTTGTTGAAAGATGAAACAGTTCTTCGAGATCTGGATTCGGCAATTGTTGGAAGCCGATTATGTGGTTTGAGAAGATGGGTTACAGCATGTGCCTACGGCAATCGGATTCTTTTTCTCATCTACTTTCTCATTTCCCTCACCAACTTGGCGAGTTTTGCAGGACTCATCGCGATATTCTGCACAGTCTCTTCTAGTACTTCCACATCCGCATCCTTGATCAGCCGCCTCAGACTCGTCGAACTAATGTCTGGGTCCAAGTGTGGCTCATCGCATTGTACGAACCATATCCGATATGCCAAATCTTTGCCACCCTGACAGACAAAGACTTTGCTATTCTTGTCGATGGCGATCGGTGGCCCTGCTTGGCTTTGATCTTGTGTAGTCGGCTCGTCTCCGGGCTTGGCCACATCACCACCCCCTCTCACCAACGCCCAATCGGTATAACCATGCAAAGTCAACAGGTCACCTCCGATACCCCCTCCTTCCGGCGCTGGTGAGTCCACTACAAAATCAGCCCTCCGACAGACATTACTCGTCACCACACCGTGCATGCCCGAACTCCGCGGCATGTCGCGTTGCACGTAGTCCGGGCCCAGGAGCTCAATGTACTCGACGTCAAAGCCGTCGGCCTCGCAAGCGCGTATGAGCCGTGGATGAAGATTCCACCACTCGCCCAGGTCCGCCGGAAACAGCCAGACACCGCTGCGGACCAAGTCGTCGGGTACACCGTCACGTACGAGCTCGAGGCGCTGTTCGAGGGGGAGTTGTAACTCCTTTGCCTCTTTTTCGTTCTTTGGGGTAGCCGTTCTCGCACCCCTGTTTGCATGACCGCGGTTCTTTCCCCTGCCGCGTCCTCGAGGGTACATTGCTGCTTCGGCTTCCATGGCGGCGCGCCGTGCTTTGCGCTCTAGCCAGTATTGCCCATGAGGAATAACAATGAGGGCGACGGCATTCAGGTCGTCCGCCGACGTGTCCCCACCAGATAGGGAAGCTTTTGTGTTGGAAAATACATGATCTACCAGCGCCAAATGTCCGACATGCGGGGGATTGAATGAACCAATGTAGTAAATGATACGATTCTTGCGTCCTTTCCGGAGCGTCGCGACTGGTTCGGCCGTCGAAGGCCTTTCGCCAAACGGGTTGACTGACTGGCGACCATTCCAAACCTGGTTAATGTATCTTTCCAAGGGCGCAGTTTCACCAGACTTTGGTCTGAAGAAATTCATAGTTGCGATTATCTATTCAAGAGCTGAACCGCAATACTTGTGTGTCGCGATAGCTGTTTTCGTAGTCGAGGCGTCAGAACCTGGGTTGAAGTATTGATCCTTGTTGAGTCGTGAGAAAACGAGTTGACTGGTCTCATATAGGCCGGAGATGTATATGGGTTGATTCTGGGGAAGAAAAGAGAGGCAGATGGTGCCAACTGTTTCTCTTTATTACATTTCACTTCTTTGAATACACCTGAGGGAGTCATTGCCAAGAATTAGTTCAGAGATGCCTTAGCTAGCAACTTTGAGTGCAAGGGTCAATAACTATGTGACATGGCTGCCTGAAGATTGTGGGGATGTAGAGTATTGGCCGTAAGAGACAAACAAAAACCTGCAACGTTGAAATCAAGCATCATTCTACGTTCAAAAACAGCACATTTTTCATTTTGGATCCATTACAATTTTACAATATATTATTTTCTCAATGGCTGATTTCTCTGCAATTTATCGTACTCTCTCTTCGTTCAAAATAGCCACCTTGAATTTGCCATCATGTCTCTGAATAGCATACAAAACGAGCGAAAAAAAGGCCTCTTTTCATTATGCCTGGCTATGCAAAAATACAAAAGAGATGAAAAAAAAAAGTGGCATCGCAAATACAGTTCAAAAGCGGCAAAAAGGTGTTTGTGCCCAGATGATTGTATCCGTCGATGGCCAACTTGTTGCGAAGTGAAATCGCGTGAAGGGATCGTGTTTGTGCTTTTTTGAAAATTAGGTCATATAGTCGCTGTGCAGTGCGAAAAGCAAATACATGCGGTGTAGTGGGTATCAATCTAGCTCGCAGAATGGGTATAGCCAATCGATGTGGGCAACATCGCTGGGAGAATGCATCAAGCGGCCTTTAAAGACCAAGTTGATTCCCCATGGCCGCCTCATCCCTTTTTCCATTTTTGGTTTCTTCACAAATGAGATTATATAGTAGAACCGATGCCTGCTTCGTTACTCAGTTCCTTCGAGACTAACATTTGGTAGGCTAGTCGTCGAAGAAACCAGCATCATCAAAGTCTTCAATGTGGCTGGCATCGATATCATAGCCACTTGGTCCCGCCATTGGGGGCGTTACCGGCTCTTCCTGCTCGGGCATGCGCCGAGGGGGCGTGGTGGGCACAGGAAGCTTTTCTGCTTGTCGTGCAGTCAGAGATGAGCCTCGAGGACGGTTGGCAAACTGCTCGGCCGTGTATCGCCGTCCAGTAGTACCAAAAGCAGTTGGCTGTGGCTTGCTCTGTTCCGCAGGTGGGGTGTTACGCAAGCCTGATGCTGGCGGCGTCATGAGACCAGAAAGCAGGCTGTTTTGAGATGCGGGAGCTCGCTTGCTTCGTGAAGGAGTTTGATTTCTACCAGCTGAAGGCGACGAGAGCATGCTCGATAGGTTGTTCAAGGCAGGTTGGTTTCCTTTGCGCCAGTTGCCCCAGGCGGCAGCCAAGGGGCCTACAGCTTGGGCTACTCGTGGTGTTGCCGCACCCTTGATGGCGGCAGCAAGTTCAGGTAGATTGATGGCAGAACCGCCGTTGAGTGCTCGTTCGCGTTCTTGTTCTTCCATCTGAAGATTGGCCTTCAGGCGAATCGTTGCATCCTTGACGGCCTCTCTGTCATATTCTTCGGCCGACAGAGCTGCAATGATGTCCTGAAGATCACTGTGTCGCACGGCCAGAAGCTCGCGAAGCCAGGTGATTTCATCGTCACGCTTGGTGATCTTGACCTCAGCTTCTGGGTCAAGTTTAGACACCTTCTGTTCAAGCTCCTCAATGTGCTGCTCCCTGGCTTGGAGCTGTTCTTGCAACACCATGATGGACTCGCGGAGTGCTTGAGGAGAAATCTTCTCTGGAAGCTGCATAGCCTGAGTGACGGCTTGTGGTTTGGCATCGGCAGAGGCATGAGAGACAGCAGTTTCTGATGCACCTGCGGCCTTCGCGGCTTGGGCTGCAGCCTTGGCTGCTTCTTGAGCAATCTGAACCTTCTCTTCGAGATGGACAACGCGATCCTGAAGGTGCTCCACCTTGGACGTCGAGAGGCTTAGACGCTCCAACAAGTTTGACTCGTTACGTTGAGCATCCTCGGTCCTATTGCCGAGTTCGCGTTCATATCGGGTTTGGAGATCTTCAATCTCGCTCTGGTGTTTAGCCAGCATGGCCTCGAGGCTAGCCGCGCTGGTCACCTGTGCTTCCTCAAGCATCATGTCATGGTGGGCCTTGGCTGTCTCGGCATCCATCTTGACTTGGTCAATCTGAGCGCGGAATTTCGCCACCTCTTCCTCAAGAACAATCTCGTGTTGGTGCTTGAAGCTCTCGGCGGCCAAGCCGGCCTGAGAGAGCTCAGCACGTAGTACGTTGATCTCTTCTTCCAGTTCGGCACGCACCTCATTCACTTGCTTGTTGGCAGCGTCGAGATCAGCTTGCGTAGAAGTGCGTGCCCGGTGAACCTCGCTGGCGGCGGATTCGCGGGCTTCCCTGGCCTCGCGTTGGAAGTGTAGAGCAGTCGTCTGAATTTTGTGGTTTTCAGTTCGGAGCTCACCAAGAAGGCCTTCCAAGCGTTTGCATTCCGCAACAGCCCTCATGCCGGCACGCTCTCCACCTTCAAGTCTCTCAAGTTCTGCCTCCAGTCGCTCGCGAGTTCTCGACTCGGCCTGAAGTCTGGCATCCAGGACCTCTTGGCGGGCAATAAGGGCCTGTTCCTTCTTGAGGCGTCGGCTATTCTCCTCTGTGATCTCGCGAACGGCATGGGCCATGTCATCCTGCATGGAGACAAACTTGACTCGCCAGTTTTCGCGTATCTTTTCAGTCTCCGACAACTGCACGTTGAGAGTATCGATAACCTTGCGGAGGTGCTTAGACTCATCAACAGCAGTGATCAAGTCATCAGTCTGTCGGCGTGCTGAGTCACGAGCATGCTCAGCTTCAGATCGCCAGTGACGAGCCTCTTGTCTAGCTCCGCGAAGCTCATCATCAGTGGCGTTGAGACGGTTGGTGAGATCAATCTGAGTCTTGTCAGCATTGGATTGGGCAGCCTCAAGAAGCGCAAGTCGCATTGCACTCTTGCCAGCAGTCTGCTCCACAGCCCGAATCTTTTGCTCACGCTCCTCCACCACTGCGCGGAGACGATCTTCTTCTTCAGAAGAAATGCGAAGAAGCCGCTGGATCTCTGACAACCGATCTTCAGCATCCCTTCTGCCATGTAGCTCATTGTCAGTCTTTTGTTCCTGATGTCTCAGGCGTTCCTCGAGATCATGTACTCGTTGATCATAAACGCTACGGTTCATGATTTCCACCTCGATCTTGGTCTCGGCTTGGTCGAGTGAACGCCGAAGCTCAAATGAACGATCCTCGACTGCTCGTCGCATATCAATTTCACTCTCCAGTCTTCCGCTTTGATCTCTGAGACGCTGTTCAAGCTCGAGAATGGTAGCCTGCATTTCGGCCATCTTCTTGGTAGCTTCTTCATCATCTTGAACAACAGGTGGCGGTGTAGGAGGCATGCGGTTCTGCACTGCTGCCTCGACCACATTGCGCAAGTCTTCGGCGGGGAAGTCAACACGCAAAGACTGATTGAGCTGCTCTCTCATATCTTGGAGTTCCTTGAGAACAGAGGTATTGTCAATCGATGGAGTGGGTTCAGGCTGTTCCATAACCGATTGCAGTGCACGGCTGGCATGGTGCTGGTTCAGTGCCTCCATGACGGCAAAGCGGATCTGTTCCATTTTCCTGTTTCGTTGGGGGCTCATGGACTTTCGTGTCATGGGCACCTCATCATCCTCATCATCCGCATCGCTCTCTTGGACCTCGGCAGAGACACTGCGGCGCTCGCTGCGGCGTTCATGGCGGCTTGAAGGTGTTCGGCCAGCCATGGCAAGCAAAGCCTGCTGAATTGTCGCCAAGCTCTTCTCGAGTGGATCGAGGCGATCGGTCAACATATCGCCAACAAGATCTTGGACGTGACCGTTGAAATAGTGAGCGCGCTCTTCCAGCTTGTCTTGTTCATCGGCAGTAAAGGCTCTGTCCCATTCCTCATCCTCGGTAATGTTGCCACCACCAAGATGATGCACAGGCCCGTCAACCTCATAAGGAGGCGAGGCGCGGCTCCGAGGGCGTGCGACAAAAGGATCCTCGAATTCATCCTCCTCCAGCAATGCTGGGCCAGGTTCCAGGGGCAATGATCGGTATGGGTGCGGGCTTGGGCTGCGTGCATCGCCTCTTCCCATGTGTTCCTGATGTGGTAGGCGCAGCGGTGAAAACTTTGGAATGGCAGCAAGCGAAACAGTTCGGACCGGGCTTCTTGGGCGACGCCAGACTGGCGCTGGTGATACTTTAACACTTCGGTTGACTCCCATGGTAGGGTCAGTCTCCTTCATGTGCTGCATCACGGCATCAATCTCTTCAAATGTCAACTCATGTTCTTTACTGGACTCCTCAACCTCTTCGGGCACAGTGGTGATGGGTGGCGGGCTATGAGGCGAGGGGATTGATTCATTGAAGCTCTGTAGCTCTGAAGCTCCGTTGGCAGTTTCAGGAACTGGTGCTTCCTCTTCGTCCTCGTCAGATACAGGAGAAGGCGACTTTGCGAACCTCGATTCGCCCAGTCCTCTGTGCACCGGCACTGGCGGAGGGGGCGGCGAGGCAAATCGGGAGGCCCCAAGTCCTTGCCGTGGGGGTGCAGCAGCGAAGCGAGAGCCAGCCAGGCCCGATTTCAGGGTCTGTGATGTACGCTCGGGCTCCGGAGTAGGCTCGCGATGGACTGTGGTCGTGTCTGCTTCAACAGTGCGAGGCTCTGGGCCAGGAGTTGGCGACGCGCCACGATCATCCTCGCTCTCGTCAGGTTGTGCCATGGTTGGGGGCTGAGCCTTGAAAGATGGTTCAAATGGTGTTGCCACGGGATTAGGAGCACCAAAAGTAAAGCCACCGGGCATGAATGGCTGAGCAACGGCAGAAAGACCTCCGGAGAGGCTCTTTTCGTGGCTTCTGTCAACGACCTCAAAGTCACCAAACGGTCGAGCATTGTTGAAATCCTGGACGTCCAACTCATTTCTGAATTCAAATGGAGCCCAGTTGATTTGGTCTTGTTCAGGGGACGTTGCGGATGGACTCGTGGTCGTCTTTGTGTCATGAATTTCGGATGGGACCTTGGTATCAGTGGACTCGGAAAGAACAGTGGAATCCAGTGTGGTATCACCAATGACATCGTTATCTTCATCCTCAGGCTCGGGCTTGTCTTCTTCAGCCACCTCATCCTGGGCAGAAGCCTTGGCTTGAGTAGCCATAAGCGCTTCAGGCTCTGGAGTGGGCTCGGCGAAAAGTGGCACCTCATCACCATCATCCACATCATCCCTGAATTTCTTACCGCGACGACTGGTATCCGTTGGGCGACCGTCCTTATCGAATTCCTCAACAGGCTCAGCAGTCGGAACGGGCGTGGGCGACTTGTGACGGCTTGCAGGACGAACGATTGGGATGGCCTTGCTCCTCTTGCCTGTGGCTGGTAGTCCCGTGTCTGACAGTTTAAGATCAATACTTCCAAAGATTGAGCCGTGATGATTGTCCGAGTCTTGACCGGAAGCAGCAGCGCTTGTCACCGAACCAGAGAAAACAGAGGGCTGGAACGATGGAGCGACTGGGTTGAACTTTGGAGCAGCAGCCGAGAAATTAAAGTCGCTCTTGGCGGGTAGGCTGAACTCGCTCTTGGGGAATTGAAATTCGCTTTGACCAGGAGAGAAGACGGGCGCCGCAGCGTTGATTCTGCCCTTGGAAGAGGAAGTTGATGGTGCACTGAAATGGCTCGAGGTCGACGCCTGGAAAGCAGCGGGTTGGAATGTGCTTGCAGTAGGTTGGAAGCTGTTAGCTCCAAAGTTGAATTGGCCAGGAACAAAATTGCTAGTAGGGTTGAATTTGAACTCCGTGGCATTAGCATTGAGTTTTGTCAAAGACGGCTTGCTAGTATGGCTCGAGCGGCGTGATGATGGTTTGTCGCCATTGAAGGACCTGGCGTCGGCCCATGGATTGCTGGTTGTGGAGATGGAACGCTCATGCATATTGTTCACCAGTCCAAAGGTTGAGAGAGGAGTTCCAAGGTTGCTTGGATTTGTCTCAACCTCATAGGATTCATCACCCCTTTGCTCCTTGACAGTAAGAAGCCGGCCCTTAGTGGAATCACCTGCGCTGTCCCGAGCCTCGTCACTGTCAAAGAATGGCTTCTGTGTGAGTGAGTGCCCACGGCTGTGGGGACGAGGATGGTGCAGCACGGGACCCTCATTCGGATCGTTGCCAAAGTTGCCAAAGTGGACAGAGGGCCCACCAGGGTGCCCGGGCAGAGGAACCTGCGCTGGATCGACCAAGCCATAATTGTTCTTGTCAGGCCCTTGATGAGGGCTGTAATCTTCATGCTCCAGTTGCTCACGGAATTGCTCCTCCAAATGGTACTCTGCATCGTCAATTTCCCGTTGCAGACTTGCACTGGCATTGTGCTTGATAAAGGGAGCAGGCTCTGGGGTTTTGGACGGACTATGGTCTTCGTAGGGATTGCTCTGAGTTTCCTCTTCTTCACGCAGGTCCTGAAGACGTGGAGACGCTCGTGCTGAGTCCTGGCGCTGGAGCTGCTGGTGGGGCAGCATGGGATATTGCAACGACTGATGGCGTTGATGCAGGCCGAGTGGCGAAGGCGTACCGTCATGATGGAATGGTGAGGTAGGAGAGACCAATGAGCTTAGGTTCATGATAGATGGCGAGCCAGCACGATGAAGCTGTTGTTGCAGCAGCATATCCCGAGGCGAGAAACCATGGGGCGAGGGTTGACCAGAAAAGTGGAATGGAAGCTCGTTTGGAGAAATCGAAATGGATGCCCGAGGATTGAATTTGCCTTGCAGGCCAGCAAAAGATAGCGGCGAGGCCATAGATGGAATAGTTGGGCTCTGCGTGGCCGAGGTACCGTGAAAAGCACCTGGGAACGGAAAGCCTTGTGGACCGCTGCTGGTGGCCGACCCTGTTGGTATCGGTGGCGAGAACGGTAGTGGAGGATACTGATTCGGCATCTGTGGGTTTGCGTTTGAAGGGTTGGGGGATACTGAAGGCAGTGGTGCAGGCTCTTCGTCGCCAAAAGAGACACCAAGTGCTCTAAGCTTGGCCTCTTGCAGCTCGTTGACATAATCTTTCCAAGCATTCAAATCTGGTAACAATACTGCATACTTGCGACCAGATCGTTCGTTTACTATATCATCGGGACTCGGCCACTCGTTACGACTCATTGAATAGTTTTCTAGCGGGTCGAGAGAGGCATTGGAGATATCGCCAGGGCCTTGCAAATCAAAGCCCCTGGTGTTGTAGCCCAGCTCGGTCCATTCTCGAAGCATATCCTGCATCTGTGCAGAAGTGAGTGGAATAGGACCTCTACCAGGCAAGCCGCGCTGATCATCCCGTGGGAGGTGCACCATGATGTTCTTCCCCTTCCATGGCACCTTTTTCCTGATCCGTGGTGTCTGGGAAATGGGAACTTTTGCTACTTTGGTTGGGGTCGCAGGCGGATGTGCTGGGACAAGCAGGCTGGATTGCTCATTATTTTGAGGTATCTCGGACTTGTCTGTCGTTCCAGCCGCTGAGACTGGGGTGTGGACGGCGGCAACATCCTGCCCAACGTTGCTCGTATCTACAGAGAGAGAATCCATGGCCTTCTTTAGAGGGGTAGGATGGGCAGATTGCCTAAGAGTTTCGGTACTCGAACGTGGTCGAGGATGCCGTGGCGGCGCTAAACGCTGCCGTGAGATATGACGAGCCGAGGAACGAGAGGGCCGGGGAGTCCGTGGGTCGGTGTCCTCAAACCAAGCTGCCTCGTCGCCGGAATTGGAGCCGCTCAGTGAAGAGTGCTCGCTAAAATCACCGTCGCTTAGCCAGTGACGATGCTCCGAAGTCAGGTCGTTTGTCGTATGGGCACGAATCCAATCTTCGGTAATGCCACGCACAGGTCTGCGAGCACGATTCAAAAGTACGGCAGCACTTTCTGAGAGGATCGAAGGTGGCGATTGCACCTGGCTGGTGGGCAAAAGCGAAGTCGTCCCTCGCAAGAAAGGAGTGGTGAGCTCAAGCTGGTGAATTGGCGAGTCGTCAGAAGCCTCGCTGCTGGAACTTTGCCGGCGCAGATGGATGCGGGTGTTGGGTGGATATGGCGAACCCCAGCTTGCCGTTACGTACTGGCCACTGCTATCGTCCGACCCAGTTGGAGAAGTTGGTGAATCAACTCTCCTCAGATGCTCGCGAGCCCGTTCGGAAAGCTGAGGAGCCTGAAGCGATGGGAGCGCCGGGGAAGAGGATATCTCGTCGTCCGAACCGTCAAATGTCGAGCTCGTGGAGAAGGCGGGAGATTCTGGCAATTCGGAAACCAGGACTGGCAAAGGTCCAATGCTGTCCCGTGCTGCAGTGGCACTAGGAGGAGTCGACGGCCTCGAGGAAGACGTCTTTGGAAGACCTGGTAATGCAGCCGGATCGTCAGCTTGGTCGTGTCGGATCATCGAGTCATAATGCATTAACTGAGGTACACAAGAAAAGTGATGAAGTGGCCCAAAGTCGTGTATAGTATTGTGCGGGCGGTGGACAAATTCATTTAGGAGAAGCTAGGACGTGGCTGGAGCATACCAGAGTGAGATCAGTGCAGACGAGGAACAAATCGTCTGCTACCGATACTCAAGAAAAATAGGACCCTCTCACAGCGCGTTCGATTATTATCCTTGACGGCCCGAGGGAGGTTACCAAGAAATTCCAATGTTTACCAAAGAACAATCGAAGCTCTCTAGTTTCTCTTCTCTCTCAAATTCGCGACGCGTCCTCCTGCTCAATACAACTAAAAAGATACCTATTATGAAAGAACGATTGGCCCAGGGGTAACGGACAGGGGGCCAGAAAAAAAAATAAAACAAAGAGCAGGACTGGCTTTAGAGGAGCGGGAGAGGTAGAGGCGCACGGCACTGATGACTTGTCGAATGCATCGGATCGCAGTCGATTGCCGGCTTGTTTAGGAGGACGAACGAATCTCGCGAAGAGAGGGTGGGATGTGGTTGTTGACAGGCAGGTGTTGGCAAACCTCGAACGTCGAGAGGGAATAAAGAAAAAAAAATATCACCCCCCAGGCGCACGAATACCTAGCAGCAAACAGGAGCGCACGAAAAGATGGGAATCAAGCAGACGCGCGACGACCAGACTGCTACTTTCTGCCCAGCCCAGCGAGATTAGATCGTCTTGGTCCCAAGTTGGATGAGCTGGCGTGGGCATGCGCAGTGCAATTGGACGGATTCTCGCGCCACCATGTATCTGCCACGCCTTTCTGTGGCCGGTACCTACAGTTGAATGACGGCGCGGCACAGTAGTCCAATGCAGGAGCCAAATTGACTGGGAATTTGACTGGGAAGAGCTCTCGAGATTTGCCTGCCTGGCCATTCCTGTTTAGGCCTCGTTGCTTATCTGGCGTAATGAGCTCTGCCCAAAAGAGGGCAATTGTTAGCAGGTACTTTGGATCTCCAGGCCTGATAGCAGACAATAGTAGGGCGATCGTGGAGACTCTCTCCGCCGCCGGGGAACCTTGGAGGTATCTCTCCATCAGAGCCCATCATGACCCGAACTGACCACACTCCCGCTTGACCCCCTTATTCCTGTCGCCTGGACCCCGGTGGTACAACCCAAAAATTGACAGGCGCCTCTCCACGCGAAATAAAGTGTCAGGTCCCTGGATACAACCATTAGATTGCAGTTGAAGCTTTTCGGCTGCATGTGTTCAATCGAAAAAAGTTCAACGTTTTGATCGACGAGGCATTCTTCTTCACATGCATGACAAAGCTGGATCCTCCTAAGGCCAAATGAATCACCTACCTTTGACGTCGTCCATCAAAAGGCCCACGGAAAGACGGGCAATTGTACCTTGCATTGGAGAATTTCCCTTACCAGGAACATCGATTTCGCACTCTCTTTTGAAAGATTGCTTCCCTCTATCTGTACTGTGTACTGTACATGGGTCACCTGATCAATCAATTTCCAAAGTTTTGCTAGTGATCGCTCGACTTGGAAATTGGAAATTGACTTTCCAATCCCAAGGGCAATGCGGCTCATTCAGATGCAGGCACTTCTGCCAGCTAACCGCAAGCTAACTCATTAGAAGAGAGTCTATCGAACCGTTGCAGACTCGATCCGTTGCGAAACCTTGAGTTTCAAGAAAATCTTAATATTGGCATCTCGCTGACAGACTGTCATGATTGTGACTGCGGGTTGTAACGCTGAAGAAATGCTTGTGAAGAGGTTGCCTTTGACGGAGCTACTGCGAACAGCGAATGAACCTTGTCAATGTGTATCATTGTTGCATTACTTATCATGGGTTGGCCAGCATATATCTCGCCTATTAATACAATGAGATTAATCAATGCCAGTTGAGGCTTGGAGTATAAATGATATGCGACAGCTACTGCATGCAATATTTGATTGCTGTAAGCAGCCAGCTTTTCTCTAAGTATGCATGAAGAAGGATAATTCAGAGTATCAATTATCACATATAAAACTGGAGAGATTCTGAAGACTCGGGAATGCTGCCATCTGGCAGCCCAAGCCAGTCACCTGGTGGGTTGAACATACCGGGTTTCAGTCTTCGCAGTTTTGCCAGCTGGCAGCCAGCAGAGAGCATATAATGTTGCTACCAGGAGGCATGCGGGCATATTAGGCTTGAATCACGAAAACATGGTTCTTCCAACTGCACGGAATATGGCTCTAAAGTTGCCATTGTTGTAATCGACACTCCAAGACTGACCATTCGGAAGCTTGTGATTCAAATACTCAAAGGTGCTGTCCAAAGGTACATTGAGCACAGCAGATTCACAGATGAACTACTGTGTAGAACGCAGCCCATGAATCTAGAGATCATTGGGCATCAGTCACTCCGAGGAGATCAATCATGTCAGACCATAAAAGAGTCGAGCAGTCGTGGCAGCAGCCTTGATCTCATAATAGCTGCGGGCAAGGCTTTGCTGTATCGGAGGACGAATAAGACTGGTTATTTATGCTGCTCTTCCGACAAGTCCGTCCCAAGTAGGAGGATCTGCCCACTAAAGCGCTTATCCGTGGAGCGCCTTGGTTTCATGTTTCTCTGCGAACTGCCCAACGGTACCATGTCAATCATGAGGCATTATTGTGAACAAAAACTGTGAAAGAGGTACTCAGGCAGTGTCTACCTAAGATGGGAGCTGGTGGGAGGGGGGAAAAAAAAGAGTGGCAAGATGTAAAACCGGCCCGCCAAGTAAGCAAATCAATTGAGGCTGCATTGCCGTCCTCCATGAGTGTTTGTTTCGGCCGACCACCGTAAGCAGCAAAGCCACTTTCAACGTTACTTTTGCTGGCTGCTATCTTTGAGACCGGGAGCCACAAAGTGATACTCTTAAGCAGCACAGCCGCGACAAGAAAAGCAAAAAAAAGACAAAAAAAAAAAAAAAAAGACAGGCAGAGAGGTGTGTTAATGAGAAATGATTGTCGAAACGCCAACGTATACTACTAGTGTAATACATGCGTACATGTCGTAATGGAGCGTAAATATCACCGAAACTACCGAGCAAACAACAACTTCGCCACTGACTGCGTTCATAAGGTCGATCTTATGCGGTATACTCAGCGGGATGACGATGTTGCGCGTCGCCTCCCGTCGAGCCCTGAATTCCTGGTAAGGGATACCCACGCCGTGACGTTGTAGTGTAGCATCCCTAAAAATGCATGGTGACTGGGTGACAGGTTTGGAAGGGGTCCAATAATTTAGCACATATTCAAATCCATTGTCTGGACCCCGGTCATGAGTCGGACTTTGTCAAAGAAGAAAGAGGCCTATTTGACATAAGAATAAGTTATGTTACGAATATATAGAGGTTTTGGCTTGGTCTGCTGTGGATTTTAAGTGTGAGACAGAGACTCTCTTCTGCATCAGCTTTTATGCATGGCTTTTGTGCATTTTGGTGGAGGCTTTGCGCATGTTTATTGTCGAGAATAGATTCCAGACCCGAAATGGAACACCAGAGGTGCGCGTCCCATGGCATCCAACATGCTGATCGACTAGCGCAGGGAACCGCGGTAAAGTGGTAACCTTACTCGACAGTTCCCATATTGCTGGGCTGGTTCGGTCTTCGCGTGGCTTTTGGGGTTCCTCTTTACTGGGTCTGTTAGTCACAGAGGTTTGAGAGGTCCGAGTTGAGTTGTCATTTTAAGCGACGAGCGCGAAGACCATTTAACAACATGTGTGACGTGGTGATGTGAAAGCTGAAGATGGAGGCGGCAGAGACTGATTCTGGACTATAAGTGATTTTTGCATTACCCCGACATTTGTGTGTGCATCCATTATTTGGTGTAGGGTAGTGTATCAAGTAGAAGTGTTACCGGAATGCGGGTTCTCGTGACAACCTTGGATTTGATGGGCGATGGAGTAAGGTGGACTGTCATCCATCCATCCATCTCTCTATGGCAACGCCGGAAACTACATAGTACTAGCCAGTTACTGCTGCTTCGTTAGATGGGCAGATCGGCCTCTACATGCTCTGTCAGAACCCCGAAAGGGAAAAAATCCTTTTTGGGTGGGTGGTCACGCTTTTCATTGTTAATGCATTGGAGCCACTGATGGGCTTGATCCGTCTGCTGGGGGGCCGCTTTGTTGCTTGAGAAAATGCAGGTGAGAAGCGTAATACGAGGTGGCTCCACCCTTTGGCCCTTTTGCTAGTGGCCAGGCCGCCCTGTGGCCTCGCACCCAGCGACGAATGTAACGACCCATCGAACAATCTCGGCATCGGGTCCCCAGTGTTCCAGGAGAAGACCAGCGCCAGAACAGAACAGGCACCCAGGCAAAGCGCGAAAAGAAAGGAATGCCCTCTTCTCGTCCGTCCCGTCCATCTGACCGACCCGAACCAAGACCAATTCACTCTCAACCACGCAACCATCACGCTACGTTCGATTTTCTCAACCCAACACAACCACCCACACTCGCTCGTTTTTACTGGTTCTGTTGTAGTTGTCTTCATTCGTACATACGCAACAGTTGAACAATCCCGTCTATTTCCTTTACTGTTTGTTTGACGACTTCCTTCGTTCTCCCTTATTTTCACTTTTCACGACACTTCTCGCCATCGTTTGACTGCCCACCCGCCCGTTGGAACGCCACTGTTATTTCATCTTCGAACCTTGCCATCTCGACTCAATCAAATACAAACGAGGCAAACAAGAACCCGCCTCTGCAGGACAACGCACGCCTCTCAACCCACCCACCTAGTCCATCCATAGGGCCGCTTGGTTGTGTTTCCAACAGATTTGGGTTGCTGCATCAGATTAGTGACCTTGCTTCCCCAAGCAGACTTCACGTGAAACAAACCCCGTTTGGTTCCCTCAAAACTAAAGAGTCGGCGCGGGACTACTGCGATAACTTTACTACTCACCGCACCTACAAACGCTTCGACGCGGTTCCTCATTCACGTCGCTTGTCGACCTCAAGTGTCTCGATACAACGACGTCACAATGTACTCGACACGATTGGCTCACCTCCTCTTGGTGGCCTTGTCGGTCATCACCTTTACCCAGGCTGCTTGGCTGGACAGCGCTTTTGGCATGATTGGCAGTGCCAAGGTTGAGGTTATCGCGAGAGACTTGCTTGGCCTGGACGACACAACGTCTTCGTCATCTTCAGAGAAGACCACCAGCACCAAGACAACCAGCGCCGCTGCTCAGACAACATCCTCCTCCGCCGCCGAGACTACCACCACCGCTGACGATACTCCCACAACTACATCGTCTGCCACCACCGCCCACACAACCCCTACTTCGGCAACCACCACCTCTCAGAACAACCAGGCAACGACCACGGCCGATGACACCCCGACGTCTACCAGTGATGGCGGCAGCAGCCCTACTACTACCAGCGCGACTACGACTGACGGTTCGAGCTCCGAGTCTACCACCTCTGCCACACCGTACACCTCTGTCATTATTCTAACTGTGACCAACTCCAACGGTGATGTCGTGACTAGCTCTAGTTCATCCGTCATTACTCCCACCGCTAGCATCTCTCAGTCATCCAGCGACAACAGCAGCAACGCCAGCATGAGCAGCTCAACAAGGGCCACCATTATTGGTGTCACGGTTGGTGTCGGCGGTGCCATTATTCTCGCCGTGGCTGGTGTTCTTTTCTGGCGTCTCCGCCGCAGAAGATCAGGCGACGACAACGAGGAGTTGGTCAACTACACCACCGGTACCAGCCAGTTCAACAGCGGCCCGGAGAAGAGCGAAGCTAGTGGCAGCATGACCGGCCGCAGCCCCTTCCAGAGCACGCTCGAGTCGTACCACGCCCCGACCCAAAGCAACACTGGAACCAACTTCTAAGTCAGGGGAGGTGGATGACATGTCACATTGATATGGAGACACGAACGCTCACGGCAGGTAGCATGGCATTTGTCGCCTGGCCTCGGAATCGCTTTACAGCCGGCGCATCTAGGAGTTGGTGGAACTTTGCATACCCCCCAGTATTCGGGAGTTTCGAAAAAGACCTTTGCAGATAGAAAAATTCGGATCATTTTGCGCATTTCTTGGAGGTTGGCGGCCCAGCAACAGTCCATCTGAGCTTCGAGGATGAGCGGGCTCATGAAGCATATCAGAGTGCATCTTGGCACTAGTTGCCATGATCTACTGACATAGCGAATGCATTGCCCTGGATAGGATGTCGACAACTTAATAATACCAATTTCTTCATTTTCCCCCCATGTTCTTTTTTTTTCTTCTTTCTGTAGATAGAGCCTCTCTCAAGCAATTGTATTGTGCTGCAGAATATGCAGTATGCTGTTTATTAAGAATCTTATGAAGTGGAAATGTGCCAATTTAAAGACGAATGCACGGCCGTTTTGCCGGACACGTTCCCAAGTACATGTGACATGAACATGAAAAGTCAAATCATCAAACTTTTACCGTGCTGCCAAGTGTGCATCTAGACTTGAAATATGTAGGCAAGTATTTATATAATGTGACACCATCCCGCGTGAGAGGGCAACTCTCACATGATTGGCTGTTGTCCTCGGTTAGGAGAAGCGTCTCAGGATCGTTTCATGTTGTGGCCGCAAACTGGCGATCGAAAAGGTCGAGCGAAATGCGTGAGACTGTTGAATGACAGAATTTCTGGATTTCAAGGAGGGATGACCTGTTTCTACAATTGTGTATTTTCCTCATTCAATCAATAATTATAACCAGAATTGTGGCTCGTTGACGCGCGACTCTTGCGACTTGACACGATTCGCCGTCGTTCGAAATCAAAAGTTGGCTCCACCCGATTGGAGTATCCCACATTTGCAGTATAGCCTCAACTTTCGGCCACTATCGCACATTCAGCAGCAAACTCCATAGGATTGAGAAGGAGGACGAGTTGCTCTGTACTGCGTTGAATTACTCTGATATCTCACCCTTTTGGCGTCCACAAGACCGACCTGGTGCTAGAAGTATCACCAACCAACAAGAACGAAAGCTGCTATCTTCCCCTCTCAAATAACGGGGATACCCATTGATTGTACTAGCTTCAAGGCGCCGCTTCGTCCAAAGTTGAGGCAGGCTTTCGTATCCGGCTTTTGAAGACAAAGGTTCACATGATCAACGGCTGAACAATACTTACATCTACATTCCTAATTTTCTCCTCTCTTCATCGTTGGCCCAGCCATGAAGTGCACAGGACGATTCGTCGTGGCGACGCTGCTCTCGTTGTTGGTCAGTGGCACCGCGGCCGGCGGCGCTGAGTTTCTCGACGACGTCAGGAGAGATTTCGGATTGGGGCTGTTCCCGAGGCAGGCCTCGACGAATCTTCAGGTATGTTACAAGCCTGCCGTTGAACGAATCCGACTTTTTTTTCTCTCGATTACATGCTGACCTTGGAGGTAGACCTTTAGCGGAGCTTTGGGCGGTGCTTCAGCTTCACCAGTGAGTAGATCTTCATACCCCTTGAAGACGTTGAGTAGTTGGGAAATAGGGCGGGTTTTGCCAGAAAGAATGAGGCTGAGAAAGTTCACCGTGCCAGATTACCCAATCAAGTGACACCGATCGACCTTTCGAGGTTGATGGGGATACCTTTGTAAGTTTTCCCCAACTTTTTGATGGTTTCCCTCCTTTGAAAAGAGAGTCGACAGGGCTGACACGCCGCCCATCCTGGATAGCCGGATTTCAACACTGCCGCGCAGCGTTCCTGCGACAACCAGAAGAATGCATGCGCAGACATTGCCAATAGCCAGCAAGGGGGTTCGCTAGAGGTCGGCGACTGTGACCAGCAGAATAGTAGGTTCCATATCCGTTGGCCCTCCTGCCCGGTTCCTGTGAGGCTTGCAAGGAGACATCAGAAAGTGTGCTGATTGACCGATCAGCTGAATGCAAGGAAGCCGCTACAACAGCCACGACCACCAGCTTTGCTACTTTGACGAGCTCCAATGCCGAATTTGACTTTTTCTGCGAGTAGATGTAATGTGTCTGGTCGATATGAAGTCGGGGCCGTAGCCCCATGGGTCATGATTATGGTCATGTATGAGGCGCTGGGAATTTGACGGGATGGCAAGAACACTCGTATTCAAAAGTTTGTGTAAGAAGAAGACGTGTTTTTTTTATGTCAACTTGTAATGAAGAGAGACTATCGGATCTCATTATTGGAGTTTGGAGCAAGCGATATCGAGGAGATGCATAGGATTCTCTTGGTCGATAATCTCAGTACTTGTCAATGGGAGAGAAAAGCTACAATAACAAATCTTTTGTGTGGCTGCCATAATATCGTTCTACAGATATCTCGTGTGTTTAGACTGTCTACTATCTGATGCACTGTATGGAATCGTGTATCGCATCCTGTGTTTTCCCAGCATCTGTCCGAGATCTTAGCATTCCTTAGACTTCGGCCGCACGAGCCGTCTTTTCACTGTTTTCTTTCCGGGCTGTCCGATCAGTCTGCAGCCTCCTCGCAACGTTGCTACCGAGGAACTTTTCCATGTTTGGTACAAAGACGGACGAAATGATGAGCAGGATTGAGAAAGGGATGGTACAGTCTTGGGGGTTAAAGACGCGTTAGCTCTGGATTCCTTTCAGTTCCTCTTTTCTCTGGAAACTTACAGAACACAACCTTAAAGGCGTCGGTATATGCTCGAACCACAGCGTCGCCAACGGCAGCTATAATCGTATTCGTTATGCCGGGCACCTCGGAAAATGTCCCGCCAGTGTTGATATCGGCAAACAGTTGCGCCAGGGACGTCTGCGGAAGTCCGGCCTCGGTTGCGGCGGGCGATACGTATGCCGGGATGTAGTCGTTGAGCTTGTTGTTGAGCACAGAGACGTACAAGGCTTGGGCGACGGCGCCCCCAAGCGCTCTGATGGACCCCATAACTCCGGTAGCTAGGCCAATGTCTTGTGGCTCGAGGACCAGAGTGACTCCGGGGAACGAAATGTTGTCGACTGGATGACAAGTGTGAGTATTGCTGCAACACAGGTATGCATCTGGTCAAAAAGAAAGACTGTGTAATACGTACTGAAACCGATAGCAACCAGGGCGCAGGTCCCGATACCAATAGTTGCCGCCCACCTATCCTTGTCTAGGGAAACCAGGGACGTGATCAAAGCAAAGGATAATACTGATGCGATAATAGTTTGAACTTTGACCTTGGGCACAAATGAGATGGCGAGACCTCCTAGTACCTGACCAGCGAGAATACCGCCTCCAACAACTGAGCTTTGTAGTCCAATTTGAATCGAGTCGGTCGTGTAGATGGAAGAGATCAAGGTGGGCCAGATGACCGTGAAGGAATAGTAGACCATGGCTCCGACGGTCGCGATGCCCACAATGGCGACAAAGCCAGTGTTCTTGAATAGACGTGGCGGCATCAAAGGCTGCACTTTGCAAAAGTATGCCTCTGTAAAACATGTCAGAATGGATTTCCCGATACTCAAGAAGAAGAAGATCTTACCATAAAATGCAAATGCTGCCAGTGTGAATATGCCGAAAAGCAGTGTGCAAAGAGTCTGCGCGCTTGCCCAGGGGTAGGTGACGCCTCCCCACTGCACATATCGTCAGTCATCTACTCGTGATAATGAGAGCATCCCGAGAATGATCTTACGGAAAGTCCAACTAAGAACAATACACATCCTGCAACAAATAGAAACATGCCGACGTAATCGAGTTGCTTTAGCTGCTGCATCTTGGTCTTGCCATTGACATGAAGCTGATCGTAGGTGGGCGGATGATAGAGGAAATAGTATAGAACCAAGGCCAGAACGGAAAAGATGTCACCCAGGTAGTAAGACCATCGCCAACGCGAGGAGGTGTTCTCGATGAAGAGCCTGGCAATGATGGGTCCGAAAATGGCAAAGGGCGCCGAGGACATGAAGACGAGTGTAACGATTGGTCCTCTCATTCGGTTCGGGACCAGTTCGCCCAACACGATACCAAAGGACAGCTGCCCGGCAGCGGCAATACCAGTGCAAAAGTTGGCAGCAATGAGCATGCCCACGGACTGCGCGCATGAGCCAATAATACACCCAATGAGGCCTAGGACCCCAGTGCCCAGTACCATGTCGCGCCGCCCAAAGATATCGCTGATGCGACCGACGAGGAGGAAGCCAATGGAAGTACCGAGGGTCCATACCGTTGCGACCCAGTTGATGTCTGCAGAATTTCCGAGGTCGGCGTTGATCAGAGTGCTTGAGAGGATACAGGTCAGCTTGAGGACATACATTGTCCAGATGTGTCTTGGCCTTGCTTAAAAAAAAAAACAAAAAAACTCACAGAGTATTGGCAGGCAAGACCCAACCCAGGTAAGCAACATTGTTTGCAAGACATTGGGCCTAGTAACAGGAGTTCAGTCAAGACCTTGCATGTAATGGTATTGCAAAACTTGTTCAACTTACCACAACCGTTCCAATAAACTGTGCGCTTCTGAAATATCCTTCGGGCATCTCTGCGGCATCGCCGCCCACAGCCTTGTTATCGACATAATTGACTGTCCCGTCGGTATGGACTACCTTCAATGCATTTCGCCTGATTTCCGTGGCCGCCGTCTCGATTTGTGTCAGTTCGTGGCCATCTTTGTCCACGTGCTGGCTTGGAGAGATCTTGGATTCGGGTGATTCATGGTTGGAACCAGTATATTCGTCAGAAGACATGGTAAAGAATAATTGAGAAAGGCAACAAGTCGAGAAAAGATCGTAGTATGACAGGAAGAGGAAGTGGAGCTTCCGTGAGATCTATAGGTGTAACAAAGAAAATCTGCCGAGCATGGCCAGGTTCTTAATAGTTGCAGTTCGGACTAATAGAAATCCATGCAATTAATTATGCATCTGCAATGTCAGGGTCGTCTAGAATCTGGGGAGCTGAAAGGCTGGGCGGTCAAAGTTGGTATGCAGTGTATGGGACCTGATACGTGGGAATGCATCACAGAGGATCATTTCAGGCATTTTCAAACTCAAAAATACTATTAGTCCTGTGTATCATCTCCTCTCGGTGATGAAGATCCAGAGCCGTGGGACAGGTATGAACAACACGGACAAGGTTACGCTTGACTACCTCCTAGTCAACGGCAGCGTGGGGAACAGTAGAGCTGAGGGCGGACAACCCGAACATAGTCTCTGCCTGTCTCTGCCTCTGAGCCTATCATCGAAGAGTTGCTTACAACTAGCTCATTTCGGAATCTCCAGGTTGCCCATCACTTTGGCGATTAGTCGTACATTGGTTGAAGCCTATTAGCCCATTAATGGATGGCTAGCTGGTCATACTTCCTCACCAACGACATGGACATGTGCTTTCAGTGTAATCCAGGGAAGTCTCGATGTGCGGATAGCAAATACCATTTGATTCCAGACAATTCTGTCAGGAACTCGTTGCTGTCAAGGCGAGTCAAGCCCTGGAATGGTCTCGAGTGTGTGCTGTCCAAACGCGGCAGATCTGGGGTATACGGGGTCTGCAGGCGTGATTACATCACAAAATCCGGGGTAGAATAAGCGAAGCTCATGTAAGCAGATGTATATCCCGTACTTTGAGGTGGGCTGGCTAGATTCCCGTTTCGTGCGGGCAACTAGATGCGATCTGCGGAGAATGGGGGAAAACCACAACCGACCCCAAGTTTTAAAACAGAGAACCAGGCCACTAGATCGAAAAACAATCCACGTGATGCGGGTAACCACAACCGTGGATCATAGAGTCTACGCTGATGCGATGATGTACTATCATGTTTAGTTGTAGAAGGTTTGGGTGACAATGTATATATGCGTTTCAACAAAATATCTTTTTACTGCCATGTAGCTTGGAATGGTTCTTGTACGACTTTTAGGGTACTCCAGTAGTTCATGTCTCAACTACGCACAAATACTCGAGCAACTATAAAGCCATTTTGTGACCATGCATCTTTGCTCCATAGTCCAAGATCAGATAGCGAGTCAGATTTTTGTGTCAGAATTGCCCTTTGGTGAACTTTGTATCTGTCCAAAGGCTACTATGTTCAAGTCCATTGTGCTTCTGTAATTGAATCTGGATCCCCGTTACTTCTTATACATCGTGCGGCCTTGAATGAGGGCAAACAAATTGCAAAAGGCATTTGTCTGTAGCGCGGAGCGAAACTGATCTGACCACAAATTCACCTTGGTGGTCTTTTCGACAATGAAATCGACAGCTGTTGTCGGTTTTGCAACAGTTCAATTTTCTCGGGATGCCCAGCGCGGAAGGAAGTAGGCGGAAGAGTAGGATCTCTAGGAAGCGTGGCACATGTTTTCAGGCAAGAGTCGGCCTAGGACTCAGGCATACTACTGTGTCTGTGGTCCGTAAGACTTCAATGTTACCAGACAGGTTCGTGAAAGAATCGCCACTTGAACCCCTACCTGTAGCTATCCGCCAAAATTTTCCTGTACCGCATCCAAGGCCAGAATTGATGTTCTGGCAGTGGCGGCCGAAAAATTTCCAAGAATGCAGCGGCTTTTCCTGTAAAGAGATTTAAGAAAACTCTTATAGATCGAAGGCGGAAACCTACCAAAGCACCCCGATAAAAAAGAGAAAAGAAAAAGAGAAAAGAAAGAGAAAAGGAGTATTAATGGTGCGGGAAAAAGCACAACGATATCCCTTATGCCTCCCACAGACGGTTGTGACGTCTGTTGGGGACTGGACTCACGACTGGGAGGAGATTGTGGTGGCATGCCTCCTATAGACGGTTGTGACGTCTGTTGGGGATTGGAATCCTGATGAGAAGGGCGTAAGTCAGGATCATATGGGATTCGCTCATTTCCTGGACGTCGCTGGTTGTAAGGAACCCAACCAGGCTCAGTATGCCATAAATGTGGGGGTGTATTGGCAAAGGTCCTTATAGGAGCAGTGGTTGGTGATAGTGAACCGCCTGTAGCAGCAGTGGTTGATGGTGGAGGACCGCTTATAGCAGGAATCGATCGATTTTGGTGAAACAAAAGACGTAAAGGTGCTGATGCTGATAAGGGTGGCCGGGAAAAACTACCATTAGCGATTACAGGAGATCGATATTGTGGAGTCGTGGATTGACGCTGCTGGGATAGAGAAGTTGGGCCTACACCATCCTCCCCTACATGTTCGTCTCCGATACCTGGACTTCTTACTGCTATTGTGGCTACCCTCCCCCGTTCTTCTTTACCTTCTTCAAATTCGGAAGGGTTTTGTACTATTTGCCAAGAGAGATATGAAAGATATATTTATATACATCTTCCTTGTCGCCATTCGGTTTCCGAGTGTAATATTCGATGGCTAGAAACGGATGGGCGCTGCCCAATTTGTCGCCACGATATTAATGCAAAGGTAAGTTTGCAATATTTGGCTTTTTTATGCTTAGGTATTAATTTTTACCAATTTCAGCCTCCTTCCCGAGCCGATTCCCGAGCCGATTCTGAGCCAAGTGAATCAACTACTGCTGCTGTGGGCGGTTCACCACCACCACAATCTCCTTCTGCATCTACGACTCCTGTTGTGGGCGGTTCACCACCACCACAATCTTCTTCTGCATCCACGACTCCTGCTGTGGGCGGTCCTCCCGAGGAAGGTACCACTATGGGAGCCGGGTAAGGCCGCGGCTCCCGGATAGGGAGAGGATATGGTGGCTCGTTGCCAGTAGGACCACGATGGAGCCATGCTCCCCGCTGTTGACTAGTGCCGTAGACAAATTCCGAAAGAATCTCTTCGTAGTTCATAATGAGGCTCTGCTAATACCTCAAAATTGCAGGCGAAGTGATTCTATCGAGGTCGTCGGCATCCTCGAGCATGTAAAGGCGTGCATTGCGGCGAAAGTAAACCCTGTCACGGCTGATGTAATGCCCAGGCCGGCCTTCATCGTCCTCGGCTTCAGAGTCGGAATCGAAGGCATATTACCAATGCACACGACGTGAATTAAGGGAAAGTACACCCAATTTGTTCATGGCTCGGTGGAAATGCCTTCGCGTGCCCGCCTCATGAGTCCGGCCACGGGTATTACGACAGGCAGGAGAGATCGATGTGTTGCACTTTCCTAGCTAAATCATCTCATAGCGAGGGAAAGAGAGAGAATTTCTAGCAGGATCAACCTTTAGTGCTTTTCTTTGTTTACCTATTTAATCTCCAGCTTAAAATTCTTTCCTCAAAGCCTTTTCACATCAACAACATTTTTCTTCTTTCTATATACTTGGATAGCCATCATGGACATGTCACCATCATCAGCCCATTCGATATCAGGCTGAGGTCAAGGCACACATGGAAACCATGCGTGACCGAGCCATCAACGAGCAGCGCGACTCGGCGATGCACAATCTTCGCAACTACCAGTGGCTGGCAACGCCACATGATACCTGGACGATCCCAGGCCATGATTGGCAGGATCGACTCAAGTATTATAAGCGGCGGTTCAAGGAAGATATACAGGGCACCGAGTCATTGGACATTACTAGCCTCGCTGCCGTGGTGGCTTTTTCTGTCTTATTGCAAACAGTACATTGCACCAAGAAGACCGAGCGGCCTGATGTCACCTTGACAAGATGGTTTAAAACGTGAGTACTGTGAACTCAGAGTGTGTGTCAGACTCCTTGATATAACCCAACTCCGTATGATCTGGGCTTTTCATCACATCACTAGTGACTAACTTTATATGGGCTCGAAAGGGAACATTTCATCTCAAGTCTCTTCGCGAGGGTCTTGCAAACGAAGAAAACGAAGACCTGGCGGTATTCCAATCGCGACGCCCAGGAATCGACGTGGCTGCACATGGACATTCGAGCTCGTCCTAGCGAAGAGGTTTACAGAAATGTTAGACGCAATCATCTTGGAAACACTGGCAATGGTGGTCTTGATGCTCTTGGTGGTCGACTTGAGGTGCTACTCCATTTTGTTGTTCGGCAGACTAGGTACCCACGGCTTTCGGTCTTTGGAACTAGCATCCAGTGGCACATGCTATTCATGTATCTTGAAGCAATACGTCATGATTTGGACTGTATAATGAAATAAATAATGTTAATTAGACTATTGAGAGTATGACCCGGCATCAAAGTACCATAAAATGCCCTTGACCAATTTAACGTAATCAAATTGGATTTTGAAATAATGCTATTTATACTTCTGCATAGATTCTCGTTCATGGACTCGTACATTTGTAACTATGGCAAACTAAGGAAAAGCTGTTCCATTGCCGGGTAGTTTGGCGTCCTATAATAATAGTCCTTTGTTAGCTCAACGGTGCTACGGCCAACCGAGATTACTCGTTGGTATTAGTCTGGACAAGAATAGCCACTTACCCAAGACCTGTTACCGGGTCCCACCCAGCGACAGCCGAAAACCCATTGGTACCGCAGCCGGGGTTTTGTCCGTTGGTGATGTCGTTCAAGACTTGAGGGTTTTCGTACAGCACAGTGTTGACAAATCCGACCGGGGACTTGCCAGCGGCCAGACGCTTCTCATTGATCATGTTGATGAGGGATGCGAAAACCGGCGCCGAGGCCGACGTGCCAAATGAGAGAGTAAAGTTGCCGTCTACGGCAGTCAGGTACCGGGCGCCATTAGCAGCCACATCCGGATAGCCCCTAACCGTCTGGGAATTGTTGAATTGCTCGGCAGTATACGACGGCGCAGAATCGGCAAAGTAGGATTTGATGGCCTTTTCCTGGTACGAAGGCATGGCGAAAACATTGGAAAAGCCCCCGCCGGAAAAGATGACTTCTTCGCACGCACTCTCTGGCGACCGGACGGAAGAGCCATTGAGGATCTGCGTTGCACCAACCGATGTTACATATGGACATGTACCGGGAAAGGAAGGATTAAAGAGACCAGTCGAGCCGTCATTGTATGCACCCGTGGTGGGATCAATGCACACGGCTTGGTTCCCAGCCACGCCATTGTCGCCAGACGAAAAGATCATGGACACGCCCTGCAGGGCGAGCTTCATGTACTCTGCGCACTGTCTTTGCTCATAACGGGCGCCGAGGTCGCCCTCGTTGTATCCGTAACTGGTCGAGATGACGTTTGTGGCCTGGGCCGTGCCGCAGCGAATGTCTTCGGCGTACTGTCCGTCAATGTTGGGGTCCTTGGAGTCGCCGCCCTCGAACGTGCAAAAGCTGCCGTCCAGCGCGTCGAGCAGATTGCCAAAACTGCCACCTTGGTTGAGATCGCCGACTTGGAACAAGGTGGCCTGCTGCGGAAAGATGAGGCCCATGGCGAATTCGAGATCGAGAGCAGACTCTCCGTTGAAGTTGAAACTCTTATTTGTCGTCTGAACAACTGCATTGTCGATTAATTGGACAATGGGCGATTTACCGGCAAGCCGAGGTTGGAATTGCTCAAAAAACAGGTCGAGGTCCTCTTGGAGAAAGGCCTGTGGGGTGTATTCGACGATTCCAAGAGTATTGTTGGATTGCGAGAGTGATCCAGGTGGGACAGAGTACAGTGCCCGGATGCAGTCAATGGTTAACATGGTGTCGCAATTTTCCAATGTGGCAATGGCGTTTTCAATGATGGCACCTTGCTTGGGCGAGAAGCCGTCGTTCAGGACTGAGCCAAGGATTCCTTTTTCGGGTCGCTGCCTTTTCGCCAATGATCTTCGTCGTAATTCTTCCTGATGCTTCTCAGTGACAGGAGCCTGCTTGTTCTCCCGCTCGTGCCCAACTCGCTGGTCGAAATGAATGGTAGGGGTGATCAAGTCGATGTGCTCCATCAGGTGATTGGGAACATGATACTTGTCACAGGCGACGTGCAAGTTGCCATGCTGCTTGTGTTGATAGACATGGTATTCAGTCTTGAGAAGTCGTTCCACCTCTTGCACAGTTGCTTTGAACTCTAACCAGTGACGGCCTTTTGAAAGCTTGACCCGATCAGAAGCTATGCCTTCAGCCTCGAGCCATTGCCTTACAGCATCAGCCGACTCCAGACTTGGAGCAAAGGTCTCGGCAATCTGCTTTGACGTCCAGTGCTTGCCATAATTAGCCGACTGTGGATGAGAGACTGCATTGATAAACTCCTCGGCTCTATGGAGATTCGATTGGGACAGGCCAATCCGGACAGGCAGAGTCTTGAACCAGTGAACACGGCCCATCTTTGTCCAGTGCCTTCTGGGCACAGTCCGTTCTTCATGAACAACATGGTTTGTTGTTCTTTGAAGTGGCTTTGCCTCTATAGCCACCACCAGGGCAGCCAGTACACTAGCAAATAGCGCAAACCTCATCGTCACGACCCAAATCGACACAAATCCATCTCATCAAGTGCCATATCGGGTTGCAAAGACTGGTGCTTTTATTATATTCTATAGGTATTCAGACGTATTCAAGACCAAGCACATGCACGCGCGTATCCGAGTCAATGATACCATTACCATTTTGTAGGAGGTCGGTTTCATGGTGTCGGATCTCCAAAGTAAAAGGCACATGTAGGCAAAGATAAGCCACGGAAACGTCCAAAGTCCGGGCAATGGGACAGGGAAGAGGCGCGTATTGGAGGTGATTCCTGTTTGTTCCAGTTCGGCGGCGACGCTCTCCAATCGCTAAAAAGCTTGCACGATATGTGGAGTGAGTCCCTGGCATCGTATAGGTCCCAGGAACACCGGATCTAGTAGATACCTTGGCGGCAGTGGCGTGCTGCTCAGGTACATCAAACCGTACTGCCGCATTGGCGTTTCCAAGCTTATATGGCTCAACATCAGACGAACCAGGTTACGGAATATCTGCGGAAGAATTTGGCCGTGCGTAAGGCATGAGGCTCAAGTCGACCCGCACAGATACCCCGAACCCCCCACAGGGGAGAATCTGCGTCGAATGGGGGGCATGTTTCAGACATATGGCGCACTCGCGATCCAGGGAATTTGCGTCAGTGACGCGCGTAGTATATGGTCTGCATTTTTGATGAGGTCGAATCTCGGTTGCTTGATGCTCAGGAAGTCGCTGATTTGGCCTCCACATATCTTTGCATAGTCTTCTTTTGCAGCGCGCGCTGCTCATTAATGATTTCCCTGAGCTCCTCATTCTCTTTACGCAATGCCTCATCTCCGGCGGGAGCTGTGGTGGATAAAGGCTGCTGTAGAGCAGATATTGCCTGTTCGAGGATGTCATGCGAGAAGCCCTTGGACTCTAGCATCTTACCCAATCTCGTTTCACCGACTAGATCTGACTCTAGCTGCGCTGTGAAATTGTAGCTACGACTGCCCAGGAATGGCTTGATAATGTTGACAGTCGTGACAGCTTCGGACGTGGGGATTGGCGACACAAAGAGAAGGTTGCTCACCGAAGCATTCAAATTGGCCACTTCGGTTGCAATCGCCTTGGTGCTGAGATCCCACCTGAGAATCTGACCATTAGAGTGACCCGACAGTAGGACTGTGCCGTCGTAAGTGAGACCAAGACAAGATGCTGCTCCCGTCTCTTGTGGTGATTGACCAAATGGAGACGAAATTTGAACTACAGTTGAGCTTGCCTCTGCGCTTTGGCCACCGATTAATGCCTTTTCTGCAAAAAGTTCGACGGAAAACATGGCGCCGTTGTCACTTGAAACATAAAAAGCGCGTGCGCAAGGATCTAAGCATAGGGCAGTGAGTGGGCTAGGGAACAGCAGAGTTCGCAAGGCCTCGCCAGTATGATAGTTCCAGATGATGCATGATTTGTCTTTGCTGGCGGAAACGCAAATGCTGGTATCTCGGTTGATGCTCTGGCTGGCGGCCAAGGCTGTAATGGCGGCTCGGTGGTTGGACAAGGTCTTTTCCGGCTCATGTTCGACGGTCGTATCAAGCTCTAGCAGGCGAGCAAGGTCCCATACTTGAATGTTGGAGTCATCGGAGCCTGTAAGCAGGTGGTATGGAGTCACGGCCATGCAGGTGATTGCTTGTACATGGCATGCGGGAGTGGTGATTTGCCTTCCAGTGCAAGTCTGACCTCGAGTTAGCATTGGCTCTCGTGGTTGTGATCTAGAATTCAACATACCTCCCAAAGGATAACCCGACCCTGATCTGTGCCGAGGATCAAGACTTGACCAAACAGAGTGACGGTCTTGATTCTTTCTTGAAATGTCACCGTCACCTCGTGGGTTCCCTTTGCTCTGGTGTACACATGGACCGTGGACTTTTCATGCTGGGCAGAGAATACGTGAGTGTTGCTGACAGCGAGACAGTTTGGCGGAGCTGAACTCTTCTTGAAGGTATTGGCTGTCGAATGGCTCGGGTGGAGGATATGCTCGTATATACCCACGTCCTTGGCAATGGCAGTGTTGTTGGCAATGGGAGGGCCATTCACAGCCGCAAAGTATCGTTCGGTCAGCATCTTGTCGGCGGCTCGGCAGGTTGTCGGTGGGACGGGACTCGATAGCGATGGGCAAAGAAACTTTTGCCAATGCGCGTAGGCAAAGGTATGTATGGTTCCAAAACCAGGTACACAAGTCTTCACTGATGGTGCTGCTGCTGCAACGACAACTCAGCGGCGCAATTTCCCAAAAATCCCAGTTTGTTTCACCTGGGTTGTGCGCGACGGCAGCAATGTTGCGATTGAAAGATAACTTGCCTTTCTTTTGCAAGGCAACAAGAAACGCAGCCCGTCAATTAGCCCAAACCTAAGGCAAGCAAGCTCCAGCTACATTAGCATTTGGAAATTTTTCATCCATGCCGCGACGCAAAGAAGCTATCCAAAAATTTTAGAAGCGGGACGGGAGCTCTGTAGCCCCGCTAACTACATTGTACTTAGGGTCCCCTCCCCGGGTCTTCTTGGCGTACGATTGGACTTGTTTTTTGCGGGAGAACCAGCAGAGGCCACCAGGCGCCAGTAATGGGCCAGACGCAACGGTCGCTGGTGACACCCTGCTCCAATATCTCGCAAGCTTCTCATGTTCCATATTCCGTACACAGTATTGAATCGGCTTTGGGGTAATGCCGCTGAAGCTGACCAGGATCTAGCCTCGAGCTCTTTAAATGTAGGAGCATGGGTGAAAACTATGTAGGCTCACCGTAGAAATGGACCTCTGCCTCGATGGGTTTGCCATTGAATATAATCGATAAGCATTAATCACTTTTTTTAAATTTGGGTTCCATTATTAGATTTCGATACATCGCTCTGTCTAGGTGTATTGCGTACCTATGTAGTCGAGATGCTACAGAGTTTGTAGCCATTATTCATCGTCTCTCGCCGAACATTTTCGATAAGCGAAGAGCTGATGTTTAGATCTTCCGAGTGGCGAGCAGATGGGTCATGTTTGGAAAGCCACTGGGTCATGACAGATGCGACCCCGACGTGTCAAATAATCGTCAGCCGTCAAACTATGGAAAAAAACGAAAAACATCGGTGAGCCCGACATTGCTTTTCTTTGTCAACAGGGCCTGCACTAATTACTCTGGAGCGCTGTGCTTTGACAGTGACGCGACTGTGATACGCGAGAGTTGCATTTAATCAATCAGTCAGTCTTTGCCCAGCCCGCCTCCCCTCATACTCATTCAGTGTGTGTGTGTGTGTGTGTGTCACTATCAGAAAAAGGCAATCTGTTCGTGGATTACAAATGTGGGAGACTAAACAACAGGCAGGCAAGCAGGCGCCTCACGGAATGATGGCTTAATATTCGTTTCCAGATTCATTACGACGCTGGCTTCGCAAAAATCACCCAGCCTTGGTTCAGCTCCGAATTATATCATATGAATGTAAGAGCTAGGCTTCATGCGCGCGTTATCGGCGTCCCTGGCTATATCGCTACCGTTCGCTGCCATCGGACTCGTTCTCAAGAAAAGTCAAGCCCAGGGAGTACAAATGTGGTCAGCCGCTTCCTTTGCGTTCGTTCTCGTTGCAGAAGCCCAGCCCGGGAAGCCCTGTGTTCCTCATCAGAAGCTCCCAGGGGGGCGGGCTTTGGTGTTGCTTTCGGCTTTGTGCTTCTTGTTTCGAGTCGAGGTATAATTCGTCGTTACGCCATGTGGCTGCCCGACATATCAGCCGTTCCAATACCACCATAAAATGTGCCTCGACCACATTATACCCGGATGGCAGCATGCAGGCGATACTTTGCGATGCACACACACCAGAGAACCATTCACCCGCAGATCAAGGCCACGAGCCATGATCAGCACTGCATCCAATGACATCCCTAGCAGCCACGTTGAGGGACGTATGTGCCCTTGCATAATTTCTTTTTTTAAGCCTTGTCCCCCTTCCCCCCCTTATGTACGAAGTATGCGGTTATAGGTAAATATGGTGTAGTGTATGTAGCTAGAGAACTGAAAGTGATGAGTGTGTGCACCTTCGGCAAGTTAAGAATACCAGGTTGTATCCAATCGTTCCAGAAGGACTTGTTCTTCGGCACGGGGATAATGAGCAATCACACCAAAAACCGTGATTAGAGGGCATCATTTGCCGGTTCCTGATTTCTGATTCCTGATTCCTAGCATTAGCACCCTTAATCGCCCAGCATCTCCCCTGGTCAACTGGAGATTGAGCCCCTACTTTTTTCGCTACTTTTGAGCAAGTGGCAATACAAATTCAGTTTAGCCCAGGTCCCCCCCGAACTATCCACTGCCACAATGACATGGCAGAACATGGCTTCGTAGTCTGGTCTGCTAACATCACGACTAAATTCGATCCCGGTAGCTGATCACTTGGCAACGTGGAGACAGTCTAGGGGCTGATTACGAAAATGTTCTGACTGCAGCTCACTGATCGCTGGTGCAGCTCCAAAAAGCAACCACTGACTGGTCGGCTACTGCAAGTCGATATGAAGAGTGTAAACTCAAGTTAATAGGTGTCTCAACTCAATCTGTCGTACATGTCTCGTTCTCTTGCTCCTCACAACAACTAATGTATACAACAACCACACTGGCTAGTTTATTTAGTGAACGCCATGTTGTGCTTGTGGATGTATGTAGGCAAGGGAGGGACGGATCAGGATTCTTATTCTCTTTCTTTTTTTTCCCGATCCCATGCCAACCTACTAACGCCCCACCTGCCACCATTCCTCTCCGGACACCAGCGGATGAACCCCTTGTGCCCTAGGAATGCTAAATGGGCGATCTGCTCAAAAGCCTCTCCCATCGCCGCCCATGTCCCTTCTGAACCGTGCTGTCTTTGTAGTGGAGGAGCAAATTCCCCAATCAATCTGATCCAGTGTCAATCTTGTTTTCCTTTCTCTCTTCTCCATACTTTAAGTGCCTACTTACATACTGTTACCCCGTATGTCTGTTGTTGTTGCATGTGTGTGTTGCCGCTTGTGCTTGCCTGCTCAGCAACTACAAGGCTGGCTTTGACTCTTTTGATCACACGATTGACTGCTGTGCTACCTTCGCGTAGCCGGTCCGCATCACCCTCGAGTTTCCCAGATTTCTGCTGCCTCTGGGGGCAAACGGACCCGTACACATTTTGTTTTCTCTTGTGTGACCAACGATTAGGACCGACGGCCGCATTCCTCTGGGCGTGCAACAGCCAGTAAGGTGGCTCATCTCGATATTGCCCAGGTGCAGACCGCCCAGCAACTGCATATTTGAAGCACCAGGCCTGTTCGGCAAAGTGCCATTGACCGTTGCCAATCATGGAGGTCCCGGAGCCACTCATGGACTGCAACTTTCCGGAGATGCTTGCAGGTGACTTGGGGCTGTCAGAAGAAGTGTTTCGGTCCAAGAATTTAACGGCTGGGGCTCCCGCAGCTTCGCTGTCCGGCCATGGAGGCAGGAGACACAACTCATTGCAGGATAGATCCTCTGGACTGTTATCGTCGCCCGATCAACGACACGTTTTGGTACGAATGAGATCCTTACAAACCGTGGAATCTGGCAATCACCAATTAGACATGGCGTCTGGACGAGAAAGAAGGCAAAGCTTTGAGTCGACATCGACAGACTCGTCGGGCGGAATGGAGCCTCCATCGGTAGCTGGGCGTGGCCGTGAAGTATCGGTTGGCACGGCAGCAACCTCTGTTACGTCTGGCAGGTTTTCCGCCAGTGACAAGTCTAATTCGCCGATTGATAAGAATTCCAATGGCAGCTGGACCGATCTCCAACTTACAAACGACGCCCACCACAGTAGCAGCATCAACCACAACAGTAGCAACGCCTCTCAGGTGGAGAGGTGCCAATCCCTCAGCAACATTCGACAACAGTCCAGCCCACGATCGCCATTGGATTCACCACGTTCCCCACGGGATATTGGTGGCGAGCTGCGAACAATTTCGTTGGGAAATGGTAAACCTTCCCCATCCGTCGCGGAGCCTCTGCCTGCATTCAAGTCGCCAATGAACTTTGGCACGAGCTTGATGCAACCAGAGACTCCGTCGTCGTTCAACAGCAGCACCAGCACCAGCACGCGGCCTAATGGGTTCCCTGCTCGACGTTCATCACTGACGCAGAATTCCGACTTTCTACGTGTGTCTTACCAACGCGCCTCTCCTCATTCGCCGTCTTCAGTCCGCCACAGTTCCATCATCAACTCCAATCTCATGCCCACAGTCACCCCCACCAGACGACCAAGCTCAGCCGGTAACGCATCGCCTTATTCTAGAGACGATGAAGCACGCAGCATGTTGTCATTGAACTCTGACGATGAAGACGACGAGGATGACGATACCTTTGATCAATCCGTCGCGACGCCTAAGGAAGTGAATCAAGTTGCCACACCCACCATCGTTTCGCCCTTGGCCGATATTGAGCGATGGGTCGACCAGAGCTCTATTGAGTTTGGCCATCTGCCATCGCCGACAAAGGACTTCCAGGGCTCGCGTCTTCATGTTGCACCAGAGGTACTCGACACTCTGCGCATATCGGTGGCATGTTTTCCAGAGACCATTCTGACCTGCTCGAGTCTGTCCATTGAGACTATCCGCGGCAATGGCAAGAAAGTAAGATTCCGCAAACTCGACATTGCCGATGACTCGCAGCTCTCCCTCGACTCGCCCGACGCTTCGGCAAAACCGTCAAAATGGAAGTGGCTCACAACAAAGCGCGCGCCTGAGCCGAGTCCAACCAAACTGCAACCGTCCCAGAGATATCTCCCACCGCCCTTGGACGAAGCAATAGAGCCACAATCGCAAAAGGCAGTGTGGCAGTCGGTCAAGAACATCTTTCCCAAGGGAACTGATCACCTTTGCGACGCTCTCTATGCCCACATTCTGGCCTATAACTACGTTACCTCTCTCTGCCCGCCGTCTACTGTGGTTACCCAGACAGCCCGTCCTGGCTCGAAGCAATCAAGTGCACCTAGCATTTCCGACAAGGCCTCACTTCGCTCGGATAATAATAAGATTCCCCACAAGGCAGCTACCCTCCTCGGTCTTGAAAATGACCCCTCGACAACTGCTCCGCCTCGAGATTCGTCTACCACGGCTCGCCCAGACACCAGACGTGGCAAGACAGGCTTTATGCAAGGCAAACGCGAAAACACCAAGACTTTTGGCTCAGTGGCCAATCGTACATCGGATGAGCACGATCAGTCCCTCAAGGATTTGCGATATGGCTTGGCAAAATGCATTGCGAGGCTGGTCGGCACACTGCGCTTGACGTCGGGCGAACCACTGACACAGTCGAAGAGTGTAAGGCCCGGAGACATTAAGGATATTGACCCCTTATTCATTCGCGCGCTGTGTGAAGTTGTTCGATGCAACGAGGAGGGCTGAGACGAGAACCATGACCGACACTCACACTCATCAAAACCCTTTCCATCAGCATCGATGGAACGGGTTCTCCCAGACGTCTGATCACACGACCATCAAACTTTTTCTTTTTACGCTTGTCTTTGCGTTATACGCAGTCTAATTTTCCAAAATCGAACGAGCTCGCTCTGCGGCATCCCCTTTGTTATCAAGACCTAAGGGTGGAATATTTGCAAGCAAGGAGAGATGAATCTCAAAGGAATAAGGCGTTCAATGGCTCAAACACCATGGCAATGGTTTCTCGCGATATATACCCCCAACTGTATTACGCAGCTTCAAAAGGTTTCAAGTTCTTGTCGAGACTACGATATAGACATCTGTAAGACTAGTAACAAGGCTTAGTTTAGGCTGCAGAAAAAAAATATGACAATTCTATAAACCACATGCTCAATAAATCATGCTAGTGACGTACGACTTTGAATTGGAGTTGTTCTCATTCATGAATAGTCCACGTCCTTATCAAAGGGATGGCTATTCCTCAGTGGAGCACCGACTTGACCTGTTTCTGCCCAGTCACTGAGAGCAGTCAACCCAGTGTCCGTCCTTTGCGTCGTTGCCGGAAACGACACGGTCCCGTCACTAAAGGTGCTCTTGCTGCGAGGATATGGCGGCTTATCCGTCGGGTACGGCAGGCGTTCCATCGTGGGCGCCGCCAGCCTCCCGTGCATTGTGAAAGTTTTGGCATGGGCATTACTCAAGCCAAGCAAGCCAGCCGTGATGAGCAGCAAGCCCATGAAGATGATGCCGCCGACCTGGGACATGTTGCCGCTAAAGGCGGCGACGACATAGACAATCAGCTTGGCCGCGGCCTCGAGGTAGCCCTCGGCGTGGGTCTTGGCGCGGAGCCACGACGATGTTGTGATGGCTTGGAGATCGTCGGCCATGCCGCGCAGCCGGACGGAGCGCCCGTTGCCCAGGTCCACGAGGTATTGCGTCAGCATGTGACTGACGTCCGGATCGGGTGGCAGAGGCTGTGGTGGTTTTGCGCGCTGCTTGATGACCCAGATGTTGAGGATGCGGGAGAGCATCAAGGCGAGCAGGAAAGCTACTCCGTACCCTGACAAGGTCGATTAGTTACAACATCTCAAGACCAGAGCACAAAGGGGTGGGTCACTCACACTCCCGCAGCAACACTAGAAAGACGATTGCCGTCACCGTCAACACGGGACTGGCGAGGTACAGCACATGTGAGAACCAGCCCAGATCCGAGCCCGTGTCACGCCAAATCGTGGCTCTCTGGCCGCCGCGGCGGCGACCGCGGCCCGCACGACGAAAGTACTGCCGCTGGGGGATCATGCCCACGTCGACGGTCACGAGCTCGCCCTGCCGGCCGACCTTTTGCAGATACCGAACCGTCGCCGGGTTGTTGATGTTGTACGTCGACATGCGCCCCTGCACGAGTTCCACGGCGTCATATTTGGCCGTCTCCTTGTCCAGGGCGTCGGCCGCCTGTTGGTAGTGTAAGCCCGGAGCCAGGAGCAGTGCGTCGAGCCATGATGATCCGCCTGCAATAGCAGTGCGCTGGGCAATGGTGCTCAAGTCTGCCAATGCTAAAAGACCGCTGGCTGAGAGTTGAAAATTCGGAATAGGAACTTGTGTCCAATTTGGAAATTCAGCAGCACGTCTGATCAGGCTCTGGGTGAGAAAATTAGTTATTGCGCTCAGTGATGTAAGCGAGGATTTCCCAGAAACGGGCTTACCTCCATATTGGAGCCCCCCCGCCTTATAGACAGGCGAACAGATTACTTGCAGATGTAATCCGGGGATAAAAGCAAATGCAATATATATGAGAATGGATGAAGCTGGACAAGAAGCAATCACTGTCAAGAGAGAAAGAAAACCCAGTGAAGATCTCTCGATATGGGCGACAAAGACATGATCCTACTTCGTCATTGGCCGATTGAATGTAACCTGTCGCGAGCGGGAAGCAAAATATCCTGGCCAAAAAGTCCTGTGATTTGACGTAGTTGTCGAAAGAGCCAGCCAACCAAACGAGACCAATCGCAAGAGATGCCGGGATCACGAGTTTATTCTGGAAGTCAAAGGGGATATATTTGTGTAATACCACGGACAATCTTGTAGCATTATCCATACATATGACTGGCTATTATTAAAAGAACGGGAGAACCAGGCATTTTCAATGACAGATCGACTTGGGCCGACCACCCTTCTAAAAAATCGACGGGAGGGGGATCGGATCATCGCGGTGAGGGAGGAGGCCTGCCACACCAAAGCCCAGCCTGCCTCAGTTCCGGTCCTTTCTGCGCTACCCGCAAGTCATTCATGGTCACTTGATGCTCTTCGCCTACGGGGCGAGCGCTTGGCTTGGCAATCGGTGATGCGGGTGGTTGGGCATCTCTTTTGTGTTATCGGACAAAAGCAGTAAGGTAAGATATGTTTGAAAGGGCCTAATGCAGGCTGAAGTAGAAAGATCTTTGTTGATCTTTCCGAAATAATTATTTACGCCTCATTTCGTGGTGGTTTCAATTATTTGTTGCTTAAGGCTGAAACCTCTCGGAACCAACGGGCTTCAGTGAAAGCCACTATGGCTTACCATTGCTCTAAGGTACGCTCCAGCGGTTTAGTGGCCGAGGCAACTGCCAGGACCCCCATATCCGGGGGGACGGCATAACCCCGGAGTCGCTAGGAAGTGAGACAATCCCTGCCTGACACTTATGCCGGGCGATAAAGCTATGATGGTCCTTATCAGTGACCTTTCAGGCCTACATCATACATTGCCTGGAAGCTGTTTCTGCCGTGAGGCTGCATTCTTGATGGCATCAAACACCACATGACCATGGCTTCTTCAGATCCGACGTATACGGTTTTCATCCGATTACCATTTCCCCGTGGAAACTTTGTGGATCCTCCGCCGGTACGTGATTCATGACAGACGAGAGCTCGCGTGCGCAACTCGGCCACTAACAGTGCCAAAGGTCAACTGGGATCCTTCCAAGGATGAGGCGCTCTGGAATATTGTTTCTGGTGTTTCCAAGACTGATATAGATTGTAAGTATACCGAATAAACTTCGTCAATCGTTTATTGACCAATATCTTCTTTCAGGGAATGAAATGTAAGTATCCTCGGGCTACGTATGCGATGATCGCTCACCAATGTCCTGTCATAGTGCTGCACGTTTCAATGTCAACGTCGATTTCCTCCTCCAACAAGTCGCCTTTCTTACCGAACGACATACATCACAAGTTCGAGCCCAGCTTCGCAAAGCGGCAGCCGCAGCCAAAGGGTCATCAGCCAGTTCTCCGGCACCTGGTGCTGATCCCGCATTAACGGGCGATGGACTCCAGCGAACGAGCTCAGCGGCTGGCCGACCGAGAGCCCCTTCCGCCCTTTCGCTTAGAAAGGACTCGCCTCTACCGCGAAACGATGGCAGTACCCCGGGCACACCGCTGCGTGCAACACCACGCCCGCAAGCCGCCCGAAAGACATCGTCCAACACAGGTTCCGTCTACGCGACTCGAAATCTAGGAGGCAGCAGCAAGGCAAACATCAGATCGGGAGACGCGCAGAGGCGCAGACTTTCTTCCCTCCCACTAAGCACGACTGCCGCTACCCCCGAAGTCGAGCCCGATCCTTCGTCGCCCGGCCCCGCAGACACTAGCTCCGCCGCCTCGTCTTCGGATGAGTCCAGTCCGGCGCAGTCCCGAATCATCCGTCGACCGCCCATATCCTATGATGATGACGACGATGAAGAGGATGACGAACCGGCGTTCATGCCATATAGGGCACAGAAAGAAGGGTCAGCTGGTGGACAGCATGATCTCAGCGCTACGCTGAGGGGAAACCTCCCGAGAAAACAGCCAAAACAACATGGCAAGATACACTTATCCCAGACCTCTGACTCTTCGACAAGTTCTGCCGCTCCAATGCCACGAGGCTTGGCTGGAGGTAAGGCTGGGTTGGGGTCACCCTTGTCCCCCCGTCGGACCCAGGAGCTTGCGGGCAGAAGTCCTATCGGAAAAGGCAAGGGTTATTCGCGAGACAGTGATGGCACACCTAGTATGGGAAGCAGCTTTAGCGATCTCGACGGTCAGTCTGTCCCCTCTCTTGTTGGCTGTTCACACTAATTTGCAAGTAGATGCTTCTGTGACTCAGTCGGCGTTGGAAGAAGCGCTGGCAAGCAGAATACAGGATGGTGGAATTGGAAGCCGCATGAGTACTATCAGTAATGTCTTTCGGAGTCGCTATCTTCCAAAGTCCAACAATCCTTGAATGAGAAATTATATGGGCCATTTAGGAGTTGAAGGGTTCCGGTTTGTATTCTTAGCACTGTTATTGATCCTGGCGCAGATAAAGATTGGTCTCGGCGTTTTTAGGTGGCGGTGAACAGATTCAATTGATGACATTATTACTCTTCACAGCCACGATGGGCCGCAGGAAATATTAGTTTTTTATTGATGGACTCTCTTCACTTCAATTTACCCGAAGTCGGAAATGGGAACATGGAAACCGGCCAGACTTTGTCCGCAGGGCTCCTTCAGCGACAACCCTGAACAGGGCGGTGATACGGCGTTTTCCGAGGACATCTGGCAAGACCATTCATCCATCACACAAGATCGAAGTCGCTTCCCCCGAATATCACATCATGGTACCTTTATCTTGATGAAAGGAAACGAAGTGTGGGCGGCCACAGTCGAGTTCCGCTCTCCGTGCTCTCGCCGTCATCTCGTACCGCAACCACAGCCTCGCGAACTTTTACCCACATGTAGGAAGGATCCCCTGCTCCCTCGACATGGCTTTATGCAGTGGCACACAATCGTGATACAACATAACCCTGCCACAACTTCTGAGTCGGGAATGGAGTCTTCACACAATATCATTGTATTATGACAGCCTCGCGCAGCTTTTCATTGCTTTTTGACCGCTGTACTCGGTGAGCAGGGAGGTTGTGGTATAGTTGTCCATCTATTGGAGGATCTGAAATAATATCTTACATGGTGGTCATTCTTTACCTACTCTACCATTTTCTGTTTGCAGAGGCTTTCAGCCGTTTTTTCAGCCGCCCCCAAATTATCGATGTACTTATTCAGAAGCAGAGATCGGGCTTCGCACTCGGGTCCAATTCTGTATTGCGCTTGTCTCACTTCTCGTGCACCTCCGAGCTTACTTCTTGTCCATTCTTCGGCTCGCTTGACTGAACAACGGCCATTTGCAAAGAAAACCCATTCAATATGAACCGTTCCCATCACCGATCCTGTTTGAGTGCTGAGCCGCATGAAGAGAACATCAAAGAGGTACTTCTACATTTCTTAGGCTGCCTCAAAATCAGCGAGCGTCATGACTTTCTCGAAGACGAAGCGCACCCTGTGTGGAGTTTTGAAGCAAAGCACAACAAGGGGGAAAATGTGACCAAGAAGAGGGAAAAATGGAGAGCGAACTGCTTAAATGAGCTCCGGCGCATTGAGTTTCTCCGAGAAAAGCTAAAAGACGATGGAGATGAAGATGAACGTCAACTTGTGTCAAATATTGAGAGGAGTAGAAAAGAATGGAAGAGATCGCCTGAGTACAAAGAAGGTATCCAGATGGTCGAGGAATGGAGGAGGGCAACTCCCGAGGACAGTGGAACGTTCAAGCCCAGCGGTAGTCCTGTGAATGTCAAACCGGAATCTGTGCAAGACAAGTACATACCAGAGAAGGACGTAAATGTTCCTATCATAAAGTTCAAAGATGGAGAGCCAGATGACTTCAAATTGGACAAGAAGAACAAAAAGATTTGGGGCAGTTTTCCGGACCAAAAGACGACAGTGGAACATTTACTTGACAATGAGGCTGGCAAGAATAGTATCCTCCGCCGTGACGAAAAGGATACGTCCACAGTCAAGTACTTCCACCTTCCATCGAATAACATGGCAGTGAGTAATACCCTTCGCTATCTTTTCTTATTTTGCTCTGGCTAACAAGTCCTTCTCACTAGTGGGCAGAGGTACGTAAATTGATTGATTGGTTAGCTAAGGCTGCCTAACGCATGATAGGAAGCAATCGCTCGCTACTTCAACGAGGAGACGCCTAAGTTCTACAAGATTAGGCGAAAGATTGGAACATTGGAAGAAACAATTTCAGCCAAGATTCTGAAGGAGTCACATTGGCGGGGGCAACTACACGGGAGTCAATTATCTGTGAACTCTCGGTTCATGCGACCCTTTTGTGAAGCAATCTCTTCCAGTTAGTATTGTTGGAGTTGCCTCTGAATAATCTCATGTCTCACACTTGTTTAGGCCAGACCGAGAAGGACCACTTGCCGAAGAATATGGTTCTTTTTGTGAGTCTGTTGTTTCTGCCTTGATCATGATGCTAATCTAACATACCCCCGAAGATGCCTTATCTACATTGGGAGACATCGCGAAACCGCGAGAAATTCGCACAAAAGATCGAGCAGATCGTTGACCAACACCTTGCCAAGGCCACAACCATTGAGTTGAATGAAAAGAAAAAGAGACAAGAAGCCAGGAAGTCTTTGCCACCTGCGAAATCTACCAGCAGCGATCAATCAACTACAGCAACACAAAGGATGCAGCTTCCAGCGGACAAGACACAACCTGCAGGGATGGGCCGAATCCTCACACTTGGGACACTGGCACAGCGCTTTGGCTATCCGAGAATTCCAGTCAAGGTGGACGGGACCGGTAGGCTTCGGATTACTTACGAGGACGAGCAGGGAAATAAAAAGGGTAGCCCACTCGGACAGTACTTGATCGATGCTGCTCGTCTGTTTGAGGCGATCACAAACTATCGCGACAAACGCCTTCTAGAGAAGTTTCTCATGCACGAAGCTCCCCTTCACCCAAGGCGAACTCTGGATCAGGCATACTACTGGACGCTGAACACGACTCGCTCTCGCGACAAAGACCAAGTCGTATATCGTGCCACAACCGCCAAGGGCGCGGAATTCCACAAATACGACTTCGATAAGGCCTCATGGCCCAATCATCCAAGACTAGGGAAACATGAATTATGTCGCGACTGTTCTGATAAAATCACCAAGGTTTCGCGTGTGGTCATGGTTGACCAGCTCTGGATGTGGATCTTGGATGCCAACACCATCATCACCTGCTTCCCGAAGCGATATGGAGCGAACAAGCATGACTCATCTGGCGTGCACAAGTCAATACGAACCAGGATCGGCGACAAAAGACATCAGCAGGTAAAATCTGTGTTTGACTTGGCTCTCATTATATTTGAAGAATGCTCCAATACATTCTTCGATCGCACAAGAACCACAGACAAACAGCCCGAGGTGCTTGATGCATTCTCAGAGTCCATTGGAAACATCGTAAGTCAATTTTACACCACGACCATATTCTCTCAAACTTTGTCGAAGGTCTTGCTAATCTTGAACAAAATCACACAGATGCATAAGCAAACGCTGGCCTTTGGACGCTTGTGGCGATGGACCGAGGAAGCGCGCAAGATCTACAAATCTCGCACACGTCTTGCTGGCTCCAAATTACACGTACCGCTTCTCGACATCACTCCAGAAGGCGAGCTGGAGAAAGAGATCAAGGACATCCTTGAAGAGCTTGGCATCATGATCCACATCAACAAGACCCATCGCGACGTTTTGAAGCAGTTCATAACTCACGTTAAACATATACTGGATCCCCACAGCGAATTCACGGGCAAGGAAGCCGGAGTCGATGCGTCGAAGAAGCGAATTGGCCTCCTGAGAAAGACTTCGGCGAACAAGGTACCTAAGTTCTCTGCCAACGCCAACGAAGAAACTGTACAGGAACAGAAAAACATTTTCGATTGGTTCAACATCAACGCAGACGAAACTCGGACCCGTGTTGACGATCGAATCGAGCAACTAGAAGAACTACAGAGAAGCGCGCAGATTACTGCGTCAAGTGTAAGCTGTTATCATTATATTTTAGCCCACGATATTGATGAATAACATTCTTTCTAGGTCAAGGACCTTCTGGAGTTGAAACAACAACAGGCAGGTGTTGTACAGGCCTGGCAATCTGTCAGGCAAAGCGATGAAGCAAATGCGCAAGGGCGCGCCATCATGGTCTTTACAATTGTCACAATTGTTTTCGTAAGCACACATGACAAGGCAAACGCAAGTTGCATGGGTCTGACCAGATTTAGTTGCCATTGTCGTTCATGTCGTCCCTGTTTGGCATGAACACCATTGAGTTCGGAGGAGATGGCAATCTCATGCATCTTGGAGATCAATTCAGATATATTGGTGAGTTACGGTGAAAATCAAATCAAAGAAATACTGATTTTTGACTCCCTAATAGCTGGAATATCTGCTCCAATTATATTCCTGACACTTGTATTCTCCCTGAACAGCTGGACACGATCAGCCCTAGCAGGTCTGTTCAAGTATAGCTTCTTGTGGTTGAGTGCCCGCATTGGACTGTACCAGCACTACCTTGATGTCAACCTGCCCAGCCATAATTTTTACGAGGACACCGTGAACGCCACTGAAGAATTGCTGGTTAAGCAGATGAAGCTGTATTCGGACCGAAGGTGGGAGAAGTACGAGCAGAAGCGAGAGGCTTCGGGGCAACCCTCCTCTACCGCGAGTGCACCTGGTGGTTCTCAGTCTGGCGGAAATTCACCTGGCAGGACACATGAGACAGCCGTGTTGCTTCCAGATGGAGTAGCTCGAACGGCCAGCAGATTGAGTGCACGGTCACAACCACGACCTGCTATGCACGACGATATTGAAGCCGCAAGGCGACCGACTGAAAATGGCGCCATTTGAAAGTTTGGGATTGTGGTGGATTATCGGATTACTTGTATCTTTCTCTCTCTGGAGTTAGTAGAACTAGGAATATCCACAGACATTGGAAAGTATTATGTTGAATTTACCAATCACTCTCTCATCGCGCGAGCCTGATTGATATGGTAGGAAGTTATCAAATGATCTGCTCCCTCATGTTTTTATGTAAAATCTAGTCTCACTCAACCCGAGAGCACATGATCATGTGGTTTTGGGCATGTCAATGAAGTCGTACTTTCTCACGAAGAAACTTTCCTCCACATCAAAGGCGCCTGTTCGGGATGGAACTAATGGATTTGGTGTTGCCCAGAGATTGCATGAAGATGGCCATTTCACCGTGGTGAACTTTACCGGCCAATGTCTCGGCTTGCCCGTGCCAGGCGCCGACTGGCGCAATGCGACTATGTTGTAGATAAAGTTAGAATAATCGAAATAATCAAATAAAACGGTTTAAATTAGTATAGCTCACTGTGCCACCTGCGTAATTTTGTATCCTACAAGCTGCGCATCTTCCTATTTCCCTTGCCGCAACAGCACTTACTACCCCGTGTTTATACCCAAATTACGTCTTGTTATATGTTTATATTTTTTTTCTATGCAATCTTTCGTGATGTATTGCGCGCAGTTGAAGAAACTGTGATATTAAGGATTATTCGCGGTAGTGCGCTGTGGTTCTAGCAATCAGCCGTAAGAATGGCTTGACGGTAATGGTTTTCTGGCCCGCGTCGGGAGCTAACAAGCAGCTGCATCGCTAAATCAAGTGAGATCTGCTCGTTTATAATTCACCTCGTTGATACAGAAAGCGATATCTAGAGAAAAAGCGTTAAATGAATAAAAACATTGTTGTAGCTTTTGTATGCGGAAATGCTAACAAAATATATACGGTTTTGGCTGTGTTGGTACAAAATTACGTGATGCTCACAGGGGTCCGTGGGAGCCGCGAGGACTCATTGTGTGACGAAGCGAAATGGTAACATGTGTTTCAAAATGTGTACAAGTATGATACCGCCCCGGCGTCGTGATGTCCTCTTCTAGCCACAAGAACTGCTGTCTGCAATGATTGCTTAATGCAGTGAAATCTGGTGCAAGCATCTTCTGAACTTGTGTCACTTGTAGGAGCATGGACAGGACTTAGTCGTTAAATATACATATATAGCGAACCATCAATACCGGCCAACTCGCGGGACTTGGTTGCAAGTTCGTCACACTCATCATCCTCAAATAGGTCATCAGCATTCACCATACTGAGCGACGCCCCTTCTACATCTGAATCATAAGGGCCGTCGTCACCATGTAGCAAAGCCGCCTCGGACTCAAAGACATCCACCTTGGTTTCTTTCTTCCTGCCCTTTCGTCGAATGGCGTGCAGTTGATAGGCGAAGACGATATCCTCTTCGCCTGCTCGGAACGCGCTTGTCGTGTTGTTACGATGCTCGCCCACGACCTGGCCGCCAACAGATACGCTCTCCGTCACGGGCACCGTGGGCCCAAACCCTCCACCCAGCTGCGTGGATCGCTCCAACCGCACAGTGAGCCCGCGGGCAATTTTGATGCCCGTAATCATATACACGGGCTGGCTTCCGAACAGGCCGGCCTTGATGGCAGCCTGCACCTTGGGCTCAGCTAGCCTGCGCACCAGGTCGACATTGTTGGCGGACGGCTCGTCGCGAATATAGCGCGTCTCGAGTTCGTCAATGTCGTACCGCTGTACGTGGTTGACATTATGCTCCAGGCTGGCATCGCCGCCCACGGTCGAAAGGAACTGGGCCCAAAACCCCATGCTCATGAGGTGTCCCTTCTCGCTGCTCAGCTCGTGATTATATTCCTTGATTGTCTCCATTGGCGGTAAGGCCTCTTGCGGGAGAGTTGATAGCGTCTTGGTTGGTCGAAACGGATCAGCTATAATGCTGCACAGCTGTATAGGGCCTGATGGCTTGAACTGGAGGTTTGGCGCCAAGATATAAGTTCTCACAGCAGCCATGGTAATGAGCCTGCAAATTGAAACCTAGACAATGCGAAGAAGCCTTTTCGCAGTGCATGAAAATTTATGTTTCCAGCATTGTGAGATCTTTGGTGTCTCAGATGCCATCTGCAGGGCTGGGTAGGTACACAGCCACTTCCAGGCTGGCTGGCTGGCTGTTCTCACGGTTGAGGCGGGGTAATAGACATTCCCTTGTTTGGCCACGTCTGACAGCGCATAAAGCCACTGATATCACCGAGTTCATCGGCTCGTAATTCTCGAATATATGCCACACTCATTCACCTTTGCAGAATTCACAGGCTCGTTCAGGGGAATAGGTTATTAAAGGGACATAGTAGAGCTGTCGTGTTCGCATAGAACCCAAAGGAGAAGCTATCAGGGTTAACCTGTCTCGGGGCCTAACAAATAAGCTATGGCACTGATCAATCATGCGTCGCACCCGTCCCCGCTATTCATTTCGTCTAGGTAGGCAGGCAGGCAATTATGGTGTCAACAACCTCAAGTGAGCACCAATGTTCCGCGCTGGGTTCTGAAGACTTCTTGATATTCGGCTACGTGTGCACAGGATAGCAAGTAGTTGCTTGACTGGTTCCCAGCGCAATCTATCACAATCACAGTTTAGCATTTTTGAGTTCATACTCACGAGTCACCCCTTGAATGTAAGTAAGCATTGCTCCTCAACCCTTTAGGGCATCGGCCATTGCTATCCATGAAGCCACCTCGTTTGAGTCAGAGAAGAATCTCATAGGTGAGATGAAGAAACACCGGTTGCCCATATCTTCCGACATCCGCGCAAACAGGGCGAGCATGCCACGCCTGGTCCACAAACGGTTGGCGCTGGTGGGAAGCACGAATTTCGAGCTGCAAAAGCCGAGGTTGGCAAAGTTCAGCATCATGGCCGCGATGCCAGCCGCTATAGCGGTGGCGACAGACGAACCAGATTTGGGCAGCTCGCCATCGACTCTGCGCAGCCATGCCGACCGCACTTGGGTACCCAATGTACCAAATACCGCGGGTCCAAGGCGGTCAACAGGTGGGTTGGTGTCCGAAAAGGCGCCATTGCTGTTTGTCTCGCGTATTGATATCACAGAGTCATGACTTGCCGGGAACATCTCCTTACGGTTTCCGCCAGAGTTGGACGCTGCAGCAAAAAAGAGGATTTTGTTGTTCCGCTGCAAATGAACTTCATTGATAGTTTTGCTGATGAGCGGTATCTCATCTGAGAACCCAAACGACATTGATATCACGTCGGCCTCGCATTCGTCTACTGCCCACCAAATTGCCTATGCGATCGATGGTGTCAGTGCATATTGATGCATGATTCTATCAGCCTGAAGGATGTACCCCGGGCGTATGCAGCATTCTTACCTTGGCGATTTGGGGAGCGCAATCCCGCAAAGTCCCACGGCTCTTGGTGACTCTGGCTATGTATATATCTGCAGTCGGGGCAACCTTCATGATTAGCGCTGCCGTGTGAGATCCATGTCCGGTCTCATCGATGGGATCGCCCAAATCTCCGTAAAAGTCCTTCCACTGCCTAATGCGCCTTCGACGAGCCGGAACTTGGAAGAATACAGCCTCGTCGTCGTATCCAGTGTCGAGCACAGCTACCCGGGTGGCACGACGCTTCCCTTCGTGCGTGCACCGTCTGGATACGTCGTTGATATAGCTATTTATTTTCAAGATCTGATCCAACCATCTGGCAGACTGGTCCGCCTCGCGATCTTGGGCAAAATTTGCTATGTTCTCGGGATTGAAAGTCGGAAGGGCTTGTATAGCAGGTTCATGGACGCCAAGCTGCCGAGCTTCAATCGGGATCGGATCTAACTTTCGTGTGCTTTCCGAGAATCCAAGTTTGAGCAATCGTTCTAAGGGCAAGACTATATCGTTATAAATGATGGTTTTTCGAATATCTATTTCTGACTCGGCTTGGCTATTTTCGGCTGTGCCCTTATCGGAAAGCTGGGGATTGAGGCAGCTGAGAATGGCTTTTTGGTAATCGGCGTAATCGAAGTCTCCCCAGCCACGATGACTGTCAGCCAAACGCTTGACGATATTCCAATTAGCATTTAAACTGCACTCTAATGATTCGTCGTGGTTCCAAGTAAAAGTCTTGCCCCGACCAATTTCCATTAAAATTGTGCAGAGAGAAAGCAGCCTTGGGTACCGGTAAATCACAGAGAAGGAGTCACAGTATTCCGGAAATGGACGTTTGCCACCCTCAAATTCGACGACAAAATACGGCCTCGAGGCGTAGAAGACTTTTTCGTCGGTCTCGGTCGTGCTGCCGTCGATTCGAGACTGGGGCAAGAAATGGATAGACTCGCTGCTCCATTTACTGTCCATCCATGGTGAATCGTAATACTGATAGAATGACTTCGCAACTATATTCGCAAGTACTAGTTTCATCCTGTTGGATAGACGGTGAGTGTTCAGAATGTTCTTTAGAGAGACGCTGGGGCCGGGGAGTACATGTTGCATAATTGGTGAGCTCTCGTGTAGTTGGCGTAGTTCCGATCCCTGTATTTGACAATCTATTCGAGCACCAGGTCTTGGTTCGAGCAGTTGACACAAAGATCCTGGCTTTATCATCCTGAAACGGGCCATCTTCCGTTCAGTGTATATATTGGAATCGCCGCCTACAATTCGAAGCGATTTCTTGGTCACCTCCTTCCTGTTGCCAAGTCAGCGATCGAACGCGCTCGACTGCGGGGATCGACTTTTCAACATGTTTCTTACAATGAAATGCGTAGTTGTACATCTTGCCAGTACTCCCAAGTATCAGGCTTCGCACATAGCAGCATGTCGAATGCGATGCACCCGTCGACCTTGACCAATTGATCTCTCAACCGTAGTCTGGCAGGGTGCCTGGATTTTGTATATCCGCGATCCATTATACACGTGCACACAGAGTGTGCCAGCATGACCGAATACAGGCTATGATTGATGTGTGGAGGATAATCATCGATTGCGGGTATTTCTTTAGCTTTCCGCTTCGGTTGGCGTTGCTCGTCGCCTATCGCCATTGCACGCTTCGAGAACTGGTCCAGATTCTGGAAATAGGTCTGGCGAACAAGAAGAGGCCCCTTGGCCCATGCAGATATCCCACGCTGGACGCGATCTTCCGCTCTACGTGCCGACCGGTCGGTTCCCTGGTGCAGGACTGAATGCAGGATCGGGCAACCGGAATCTGTTGGCTCGGGCCACTACCAGCCTCTGACATTAGCACAATTGGAAAGGAAATAAATGCACACTGCAGGTGATGCGCAGACTCAGCGACGTACTCCGCATATTCGCTCTAGGTCGTTGAGTAGCTTAGGGATGCGTCTTTGCAGGCGCACGAGTTCCTCGGCATCGGCACAATCCAGAGACGCTTTCGCCACTAATAGCCTTGCGCCCAGACTCCCAGCGACAGAAGATCTCATTCGACGACCAAGTTCGGCGCCAATATTGGCAACGCGGGAAAGCGCCTTTTTGGCGAATTCGATCTCTTCGACCTCGGCGATGGCTATTTCTGTAGCCATAAATCATCGCGCGCATGCCCTACTGCGGGCGCAGAGTGAAGACAGCAATGGCACGCCGCGTTTTGTGAGCTGCGCCCAAGAAGAAGTAAGACACAACCCTGGAAGCGGGGTTTGATAGACCTGCAGGTTCCCCCAGAACCTCGCCTGAGGTGGCCAATAGGATCTAGCGCACATGTGGTGACGTGCAATGCATCTCGCCCTGATCTTTCTCTGCTGACTCCCCTCTTCTCATCATTATTTGTCTTGACAGCACGTCAGGCGATGGCACGCGAGAATGATAATGAAGCAAATGAGGGCTCGATTGGTGGGGTGGCCAAACAGTGTCGGGCCCGCTTCGAGGAATGCCTTCATCTACAACCCTTGGTACAATATGAATGGGCCGAGAACCGATTAGCTGAGTTCAATCTTTGGGCGGCAGGCACTGGTGCGTTTGCTGGCGAAAGAGCGTCCCTTGATTCCAGGCTTGCTCACCAGCCCGATACGCGTGATTTCGTGATCAACATCCTCAGTCTCCTCCAAGGCTGTATCGAGAAGTGTAGGGATGTCGGTGGGTGTCTACTGGACTGCATTATTGGGCTTTGCTGACTACAGATCATCAGCACTTGGGCTACCCGAGGAAGCCATCTTCAAAGATATCCCAACCTTGGGTACTTCTGATCCGGCTGGCCATACTGGGACGGAAACTCCGGAGCCCCCCGAGCTTATCCCACGATCATTTTCACCTTGGTCAGATATGTCCTCCACAGATTCGTGGCCGGAGGAGACACCGGCAGGAGCATTGGATCTCTCTTCTTCGTCATGCGCTACCGTCCAGTATGAGGTAGAGCAGGTTCTTGACAGTCTAACAAGGATAGCCGTGGTCATCAGGAAATCCGGCGCAAATTTCCGCAATCAAAAAGCTGACCGCCTGTTCGACCCAAAAGCGCACCAAAAACTACGATCGCATCTGGAAATCCTTGTTCTGGCCCGTGGAAGCAAGACCGGCCGCGATAGATGGGATGTTGATGCCAGAGATCTCACGCCAATCCAAGAGCGTCTTATGATATCGAATCTTCGAAGGCGGAACCGTTTCGTTTATGCTCAAAGGCATGCCCAGAAATTAGGAATCGATGCCGAAAAGGCGCATAGCAACCCTGAGCCATCAAGAGATGACAGTCCCATGACTGTGGACAAGATAACGCCCCAAACACAAATTACCGTCCCGGAATCCCCCGCCCTGCCGCTAGGCTTGGACAATACTCCAGGCGCATCCTCTGCTATAATGTCTGCGACAACGGCTTCAGCTGTTGATTCTCAAATTGAAGAAGTGTCTCGGCAGGGACCAACCCCATCACAAATCGCCAAGACAAATATAACCTCAACCGCTGCACGTGTCACATATCCAAGGCCCCCTCGAATGCATGAAGGGATGCGATCTTTTCGGTGCCCATGTTGCTGCCAAGTTTTGCCAGACCTCTTTCGCGAGGCAACACACTGGAAGTGGGTAACAAAGACCTTCCCTGCTCACACTGAAATTCATCTTGTTCGAAGCTTGATCTGACAGCACTCACTAAAGAAAACACCTCATGGCGGACATATGCCCATATACTTGCATACTAGAGAAATGCCCTTCCCCCGAAGCAACGTACGTCAATCGAACTGATTGGATGCGACATGTAAGAGAGGCTCACGCACAATGTTGGGAATGCATACCTTGCAAGACACCGGGAAGAATGTCTCTCATATTTCCATCTGTGGCAGAATTCATTGATCATGTTAAAAAGCGCCATGATGACACGATCAGAGAAGATCAGCACCAGACACTTACAGCGAGTGCTGCAGTCCTGGCGCCAAGTGGCCTCAGCAGCTGCCCACTTTGCGACGAGACAGACACTGCAGATTCCGAGCGTCTGCTGGACCACGTTCTTGAACACGTGCATGAATTCTCAATGAGATCGTTGCCATGGCCCACGGCAGAAACTGGAGATGATGAGAATCGCGTTTGGGACTATTTCAGAAATAATGACTACTTTGATGAGGGTACGGATGGACAATCCAGTCGGCTCACCGTATCGGATGCATCCGATCAGGATTTGGCTGGGCTTGCTTCTCTGCCCTCAAATGGCTCTTTTGCTCCCTCCGATGTCGAAAATATATATCCTGACTCTGCTGGCGATCACGGCTTTCAGTATACGGCAAAGAGCATGTCGTTCGATGAAGCAGCAATGACTAAGCGACAGGAACTACTGGAAGATCTACGAAACAAAATACTTGCGTGCAGAAGGGGCGAGAACGCCAGCGCCATCGTCTGCTTCTCTGACTTGAAAGATGTGTACAAGGGTCGCCTACAGGATATACAAGCAATCGCGCGACTAACGACCGAACAAGCTACTGAGGTGCTCACCCAAATGTTGAAGCTCTTTTCGTTCTTCGTCATTTTGCCTGCACCTCTGGAATGGTTTGACCAATTCCAAAGCTTATTTTTCGCGGGCGCCTCCCATTCGTCGTTCCAAGACAAACATATGCCACTGCATAAAGCACTGGCCGCGAACCTCAAACTTGAGCATTTCCTATACAGATGGCCGGAACAATATCTGCTCATTCCAGCAGTGATCGACTTCGGCACCGACAAGCCGCAAATTATTACCGACAAACGCATACGTCTTCCATATCTCGAAAGTCCTGGAAACTATGATGGAGGGTTCGGCGGTGTCAAGGTACATGAAACTTGGCGCCCTTTGAGCCAAACTTCAAGCTAACACAACGCAGTGTTGGATGCTAGCGCCCGAGCATATCGACAGAGGTGAAACACAATATGTACGTCGGTCAATCTCAGCTTACACACAAACTCGCAACAATAGATTCTTGGAAGTCATGTGCTAATGCAGAACTAGAAAAATCCTGTTGCCGCCGCAGTCAAGACTTTCATCGGCCTGCCCAATGAGGTCGGATATAAGCAAATACTGAAAAAGCGCCTGACAGGAGTCAAAGGTCTCTCGCTTCACCAGGCCATATTGGGATTGGCAAACGGTGAAATCAAGATCTTTCTGCCCTGGCCTGAGCATGGGAGCCTTGACACTTTTCTATCTGGCGGCCAAAATCCTTCCGAATGGAACGCAGGTTATTACTTCCCAGCCGCGTTTCCCCGTGCCGAACAAAGCATCGACAGGCTTGCGACGGCCTTGCTAAAACAGTGTTTTTCAGTAGCAGGAGCAATGAAATTTCTCCACGACGGTTTCCCCGGCCGACTTGACCGCTATTATTGTGTCTGTATGGATTTGAAGCCCGACAATATCTTGATTTTCCAGGGTAGCGCAGAGAGCATGGTCGGCACATGGAAAATTACCGATTTTAGCATTTCAGTCATCAAGCATTGGACAGATCCTGTTAATTTTGTTGGCACAGTGGGCGACCTGTTCCGCAAATACACGGTGGATACAGAGGCCAGTCGCGAACAAGGCGCCTACACACCACCAGAAGTCCTTTCCACGACCAGTCGCGACAGTCGCCGTCTTGGTAGAGGAGTGGATGTCTGGGCTTTTGGGGCAATTTTTGCAGAAGTCTTGGCCTTCACTTTGGGACATGCCCCAGAAGTTGATAGATTGACGGCTATCCGCAGGGCCGGAGTCAGTGTCGTAGCTGATGATTACTTTTACTCTCGAAAGTCTTCGGCCTCGCTCGCTGTGCCTGGACAACAGGCGGGTGAGCTTCAGTTCGAATTGAAACCAGGCGTTCAGGATTGGCTTTTCGAATGTGTAGATAAATGGTCAGAGGACCGACTATACGTGAAGTACTGGGTGCGTTGTATCAGTCGTGCATTATCGGTCGACCATGAACGAAGACCCACAGCAACTCAGCTTCTCGACGACGTTGGCATCACACAAACTTCTGCATTTACTGTCGTTGGCGAGGATCTGCCATCGTAGGCCACAAACAGGACGCCCATTGATCGACCTGATACGGCTACCACCATCTCCAGTTTTACTACCACAAGTGAAGCTCACAAGGTCATTGTCTCTAGTAGAATCAGCATAGGAAAGGTGCTTGCAGTCGCAATCGATAATGAGCGTATCGCCGTTCTCTCCCAAAACGGTCTAACGGTGTTGAAGATATCTCGAAGTGGCCACTTTGACTTTATAGCGGAGCGCCCCAGAAATTTCTTACTATTGCCAAGGGGTGCAAGATATGACAGGTTCTCGATTTCAGGTATATACCTGGTTGTTTGGGGCAGCGACGGTATCACACAGGTCAGTCCTGACAGCTCAACCCTTTCACATTTCCTCACTGATCAGTTCAATCCAGCCCTTCTTATACGTGTTCAATGGCTCTACTTGGGAACGAGATCGAGTCATACCTGGCAATTTCGACAGTTCAACTCGATTAGCCCTGTCAAAAAATGGCCACGTAGCCCTCAACAAACAAAACGAAATCCTGTTATATCGCCAAACGTGAGTGTACTTCATGTCCCAACATCACTCATGAAGTCCTAATCGCTGAAGCTGTTCTAGGAACCACTCGCTCATAGGTTTGGAAATCCCCAAGAGTCCCCCACGTCTCCCTCTCCTAAGTAAGCAAGTCCATATTGAAGTCTGTGACCTTGCAATCAACGATGCGGCAACCATCTTGTATTGTTGGGGACAGATTGGTCAATATGGATTTCTTCTCGCATATGAGCTACCTGACGACGCTTTCTCTGGTCCGAATCGTCAACTCGCTTTTTCTGCATATTTTGAATATGTGAGTGATTTTACCCCGCTGAATTTCGCTGTTACTCTCTCATAATTCGCATCTGACCTGCCGAAGTACGCCAGTGAGCACCGCGATCGCGCTTCAACGAAAGTCTTCCCCATGAATGATGCCTTTGGGTGCATCGTGGCAGTGGCAGGGACGAGGTATTTTCCATACTTTCCAGGGGACACGGACGAAGAGATTCCAGGAAAAAGAAATCCTGCTATAAGCATTGATTGCATATGTCAGAGCATCTACGGAAATCATTCATTGGTTGTGCTAAAGCAGGGGTTTCGTAGTACCAGTATTTGGGAGTACCCTGTTGATTTTGACACAAGACAGTTCCGCGGCGGCCGGAAGCTGCACGAGGTCCCGGGGCGGGGCGCTTGTGCTGCAAGGATTATAGATAGACTATCATACATTGATGCTATCGTTTGTTTCAAGGATGGTACCATGAAAGGCATCTCTGTGAAGAGGGAGTAGAAAGTCGCCATCTTCTAAAAGCATTTTGACTGCATATTGAAGTAATTTGATGTAATTGAAGACAAGTATGATTATAAAATGACAAGTCTCTGAATTATTCTATTTAATGGTGATGGCCGAGAGTCTTCGTATATCATTATGGGCTGTGGGCACGACCAGCGTTGACTGCACCTCGCACGAGTTGGCTGCTATGGTGGGATTGTTGAAAGCAATGCTCAAATACGAACAAACGCGCTGCATTATAGCAAAAGAGGCATTCAAGATCAAATGAATGAGATAGTACGACCTTCCTGCTATTGAAAGTTTAGATGGATATCAACTATCAACAGCGTATACGCTGTGGAGCTGTGACCGGTTACCGACTTCCGTATACAGCCATGCCACACCAAAAAAAAAAAAAAAAAAAAGGCCAATCGATCAGATTTACACCAAAATCACACCAAAA